TAATTATATATATAAATTATGATATTTATTAATTATTTTATAGAGGATATGTGTTTGTTTGTGTGTAAGATGAAATTTTATTTCATCAAGTGGGCTTTAAAAACAGTATTCTCACAAGTGTTGACAGATGTGAAAACATTAAAAAAGCAGCTAGGAAAATGGAAAACTTGGAAGCTGGCTCAGGAACGCTGGGTAATTTACTTGTTCTATGAGCTGATGGCTGTCATTGCTTTTCAATTTTTCATAAAGCATACGGCAGTTATGGCTCGTAGGATACTTTAATATGCCCAATGTCAACAAGAGCAGTTTTGCATGTGAAAGGAATGTATTTTTCAGACTGTAAAAATGAAACAAAAAAATTAGAGACGAAATTTATTGATTGGAATGAATAGAAGCAAGTTTTCTTCTTTTTATTATTTTTGACATTTAAGTTATTTATCATTTTCAGCTTTGCCTTTTCTTTAAACAGCCTGACATTGTCAGAATTGTTAGCAAAAATAAAATTGAGGTACCACATGGGGAAAATCTTAAAAGAAGTTTCGTTATTGAAAAGTGTGAAATAATATTTTGATAATTTTTACTGTGAAATTATCAAATATAATTGTCACAGATAAATCAGTAATCCACTGAAAAAGCACAAAATAAATTAATTATAATGTTAGTTATATATTGCAATTTTAACATATGATTTATGTGATTTCAGACCTTTCAACCTGTGTGTCCTAATAATATCCTTTGTGCTAAATGGTGCCAGGAATGTTGTTGAGAAACCTATTGAACTGTTTCAACTGTTTATGGGGAACGTCTGGTGTAGTCAAAGCTTCTATAAATTGTTTACTTTCTACTAGGTCAAGATAACTTTTGACTTAATTTTAACGAAGTGCACTTCTGTATTAATATTTGATGAAATTATCAGCGGTTGATACTGATTTGGGTTATCATGATATATAAGTATATCAAATGACAAGGATTTGTCTTATTTAAAATTCAAAAAAAAAAATTCCGTTTGCTACAATTCCCTAAGGTGACAAAGGGGCATAATTCTATCTTAGAACTTAGATATTAGAACTTAGACATTAGAACTTAGTTCTTAATACTAAGGCATTAAAACTAAGACATTAGAACTTCAGAATTAGAACTTAGTTATTAGAACTTAGACATTTGAACTAAGTTACGTGTATTAGAACTTCGGTTTTGAAATGCCTAAAAGAAGGAAAGATAACTCCGTTCTCAAACACAAAACTTTATTCAAGTTACAGTTAATTGTAAAACATGATACAAGACACTTATCTAACTCAAAATGGCCTGAATGGGCTTCCGTACAAATGCAATTTTGTTTTTATTTTCAATTTCATAGTTTATTAAGTATGGATATCGAACATATATTAAGTCTTCACAAACAATTATACAGTCATAATGAAAATAATTTTATTCAGTAAAACTGTCTTTCAAAGAAAATTATTACTATAAATGTTTAAAGCGTAGTATTATATATTAATTAATATAAAATGTATTGAATCAACAGATATCTGTATAATTATAAAATGTCTTAAATCATCAGTATTAATTAACTTAATTAAATTTGATACCTTAATTTTTTCCTTTATAAAAATAGCTACACACATTAGAACTCCCATACCTCAATCATAATTCATTCTTTTCAGAATATTTTTTTCTTTTCAATTTCTTACATAAATTGTGTTTCTTGTAGACAGAGTATATCTTTCCTTGTTGAATTCATCAAGGACCTATAAAAAGCTGACCGGTTTATTCTAGTTTGAACAGATTGCAATTAAGATTGTCACTATAAGCTATTTTAGGTCATCATCCAAACTCTTGCAGGTCAATGATCTTTTCTATTTTTTATAACTCGTGCATTTTTGTAAATAAGCAATTAAAAAAGTTCAATTCGAACATACATAGATGCATGTAGGTAAAATAAAAATAAGATATAGAAAGAATAAAAGTACCTGCACACTTTCCATTGAAAATCATAAAAAAAATTTAAATGCTTAGAAAATTCATTTTATCGCACCGGAATTTTTAAAGAATGACGTTTGTATGTTGCCATAATTTGTATTTATTGATTATTAATAAAATCTATGAAATGATAAGATCCATAGAATCTATGCATACATCATTTTGTTTAAAGACAATCACAAACTATTGCGATTTATAAATGGAGTAAGTGTAGGTACAGTAAATTTATACTATTTTGGAAGTTTAAATTATAGTTTTTCACACAAAATAACATATTATACGACAACGTTTATAAGATAAAAATGCTTCATTTGAAATTTAGATTCGTTTATTTTGGACATTTAATAGAATATTTGTCATATGTTTACAATGTAAATTTTGGATAGTGAGCCATTAAAAGATATGCAACATTGCTTCGGCAGTTAATGGATACTTTATCATTAATTATTAGTACGGCTGGGTGCTTGGGTTTGTATCATGTATGCTGCACTGAGAGAAATAAAGAATTTGAGTTTGAATTTGGCTTACTAGTGATTTCTATAGTTTACCAATAGAAAAAAAGGAAGTGAAGGATTAAAGTTGACATCTCGACACGTATGTTTAATTTACCACATTACTTGGTTTATTAAGTTATTTTAACCAAAGTTAACAAAATTGATTAGAAATATGTATATCCGAAGAATATAATATCAAACTATAAAGCCGAGTAATTGATAAAGAATGCCTAAAGAAGACCAGCTAATGTCGGTTTTAAAAGTTCGTTTCTAAATGAAACTATTTTATACAAATATCTTTATACGTATAAATTGATGTAGAAAATGTAATACCAAACAGTACCATCATTTCGTCTCTGTTTCTTATAACAATATAAGCTTAGATTTCTTACACATTTTTATATGCAGAATTACTTAAATGTTTAGAGTTATCGGTTCATTTATTTTGTTTAAAAATAAACAAACAAACGCCACGAAATAATATGAAAGAGATATATATTTTAAAAACACTAATCATATTTAAGGCCCGTTATGCCTCAGAAATGTTTCAATTTAAATTTCTCTAATTAAAAAGCATTTTTAATTTTCAATGCCCTATTATAGTTCGAAACAGATGATCATCGGTCGACAATAAGTACGAATAAAAAGATTTGATACTCTGTAGTGAAGTCAATTAAAATTTTCTAACTTTGATGACTATAAATTTATATTTAGTTCTACTTTCTACAGGTGAAAACATGAAACATGTACTACAACTACTACTTAAAGCTTTAAAAACTCGTGTTTTGTGCGGAAGCGTCCTGGTGCCAATTTAACATGTTCTATAAAAAAGATAACTCCTACGTAGGACTTTGTAACTCCTACGTAGGACTTTGTTACTCCTACGTAGGAGATAAAAAGCCTAATAAGGAGTTTATAACTCCTACGTAGGACTTTGTCAGTCCTACATATGACTTTATTAGTCCTACATAGGACTTTATAACTCCTACGTAGGAGATTAAAAACCTAATAAGGAGTTTTAAAGTCATACGTAGGTCTTACAAACTCCTACGTAGGACTTTATAACTCCTACGTAGGAGTAAAAAAGGCTAATTAGGAGTTAATAACTCCTACTTAGGACTTGATAAGTCCTACGTAGGACTTTATAACTCCCACTTAGGACTTTATAAATCCTACGTAGGACTGTATAACTCCTACGTAGGAAATAAATAAAACCTAATTAGGAGTTTTAAGTCGTACGTACGAGTTAAAAGTCCTACGTAGGAGTTATAAAGTCCTACGTAGGAGTTACTAAGTCCTACATAGGAGTTACAAAGTCCTACGTAGGACTTAAAAAGTCCTACGTAGGAGTTATAAACTCCTAATTAAGCTTTTTTATCTCCTACGTATGAGTTACTAGTATCTTTTTTAAAGAACATGTTTAATTGGCACCAGGACGCTTCCGTAGTTTTGCCTTCTTTCTAAAGATAAGAAAATGTTTCTGGGGCATAATTACGGAAGCGTCCTGGTGCCAATTTTACATGTTCTATAAAAAAAAAGGATAAATCCTACGTAGGACTTTGCATCTCCTACGTAGTACTTTATAATTCCTACGTAGGAGATAAAAAGCCTTATTAGAAGTTTATAACTCCTATTAGGAGTTTATAACTCCTACGTAGGAGTTAATAAGGAGATATAAAAGCCTAATTACGATTTTATATGTCCTATGTAGATGTTATAAAGTCCTACGTAGGAGTTATAAAGTCCTACGTAGGAGTTACTAAGTCCTACATAGGAGTTACAAAGTCCTACGTAGAAGTTTAAAAGTCCTACGTAGGACTTAAAAAGTCCTACGTAGGACTTATAAACTCCTAATGAGGCTTTTTTACCTCCTACGTAGCAGTTACTAGTATCTTTTTTATAGAACATGTTAAATTGGCACCAGGACGCATCCGTAGTTTTGCCTTCTTTCTAAAGATAAAAAAAAATGTTTCTGGGGCATAATTACGGAAGCGTCCTGGTGCCAATTTTACATGTTCTATAAAAAAAAAGGATAAATCCTACGTAGGACTTTGCATCTCCTACGTAGTACTTTATAATTCCTACGTAGGAGATAAAAGCCTTATTAGAAGTTTATAACTCCTTTTAGGAGTTTATAACTCCTACGTAGGAGTTAATAAGGAGATATAAAAGCCTAATTACGATTTTATATGTCCTATGTAGGACTTTATAAGTCCTACGTAGGACTTTATAATTCCTACGTAGAGGAACACTTATAAAGTCCTACGTAGGAGTTATAAACTCCTACGTAGGACTTTTAAACTCCCACGCAGGACTTTAAAACTACTAATTAGGGTTTTTTTGTCTCCTATGTAGGATCTATAAAGTCCTACATAGGAGTTATAAAATTTTCAGATTTTTTTTCTTTAATATTTATTTTATATTCGTCATACATTACTTACTCAGATGCCCGTTTTGGGCTTTAAATAATGCATGTAAGGGCACCTGAGGTATTCCGCCACAACGTCGCCATATGACCTATACTGTGTTGGTGTGATGTAAACCCCAATCAAACTAATCAAATACTATTTTCTTTTCTTCAGTTGCTGCTAACTATGAAAGTGCTACAACTGGAGGATCTAATTGAGCAGACAGGTGGTTGCGGTCGGTACCAAATTCTGCTTTGTTTGACGGTGCATTCGATGAAATGTATCGTCTGTTTCAGTTTACTGTTTATGGCTTTCGGTGCTGCTAGACCAAACTGGTGGTGTGTCGATGACCTTGACATTTCAAATGTGACCTTGACGACAGACATGCCACAGTACAAATCTTGTACTGCATTCAATAGTACATCTAAATGTTCGAAATTTGTTTTTGACAAGTCAATGGAAACTGTTGCTACACAGGTGATTATTCAATAATATTTTATACATACATTTCTTTTTTCTTCTGAATGATATGCTGAGAAATATAATAAAACATTGACACAACTTATCGTCGTAATAACACTTTGTGGTGAAAAAGATTGCTACAGGCGCAGTTTTGTCCCATAATTAAAATTTAAAATGACACAGATCAATGTAATTTTATCATAAATTTAAAACCAATTACAAAATATATTCTTAAAAAAAATTACTATGTTATAGACTAGACATTTACAAGATAATTGTAAGATTAAATAATAAAACAAGTCCTAAATAGGCATATCTGATCCTGGTGAATTAATAAATGTCCATGTCTTTTTATATTACCTCACAAATATCCAAGTAAACATTGCATAATGACTATATTCTTTACAAAGTATAAGAAAATATAATTCCAAGATTTCTGATAATAATATTTCAAATTAAATTCGATAGAATTGCGTACAAAATACATTCACTCGAAAATTTTAACTAAAATTACACTTTCAAGAAATGCTAAAATGTGTATATATGGAGTAGTTTCTAGAACATTTTATAAAAGGCTAGTAGTTAGAATGGACTTGAATCATTTTGTTTCTTCTCAACTATAAAAAACTGTTCATAAAGTTCCATGATATAAACAATGAATCATAAACATACAGATGAATCTTGGTTATAATTAAAATAAATTGATTAATTCCTTAAAAGTATTGAATGGTTAACATATTAATTCACAAACATTATATAATGATTACACATGTACATAACAATATGCATCCACTTTTTACTTATATGATAATTATATACATTACAGTCATATTGAAATGTCCCTTCTTTCAGTGGGATCTTATATGTGACAAAGAGTGGGTTACAACGACTATTACATCGATTCAAATGGCAGGAACCTTTATTGGTAACTTGGCTTGTGGTCAGATTGCTGACTTAATTGGCCGGAAAGCACCTTTATTCTCGTCTGTTTTTGTTCTTGTTATCTTGAACGTAGCTACGGCGTTCTCGACATCTTGGCAAATGTTCGCCGTTTTTCGATTTTTTATTGGACTTGCTATCGGATTTGAACTAACAGTTCAGTACAACATAATGGCAGAGTTTACAACGGCTAGATGGAGGACCTGGGTTGTAGCAGTTCCATCTTGGGCTATAGAAACAATTATATTTTCGTTTGCTGCTTGGTTGTTAAAAGACTGGAGATACATTCATTTCACCGGGGCCGCTACCGGCCTACCTCTTCTTGCTACATACTGGTAAGTAAAATAATTAGTATGACATTAACTGCGACTTCCTTCAACTATTTAATTGAAGCATATATATGGAAACCTGAACCAAACGCATTATCAATCATAATTGTGGTTCATTTTGCTGTATACAACCATTAATTCACAATGATTGAAGAAATAACAAAAAATCTAAATGTTAGTTAATATATGATAAACAAGGATATGCCAATGTTCTGACAATTATGTCAGGCACACTTCGCCTTAAACTGTTTAATTAATTATTCTCTTATTCTTAGTTGTTTATCAAAGAGCTTACCGCAACATGATTTTTACTGGAGAGGAATTAATATAAGTTTTGTTTTACTTGTTTTCCAATCCAGTCTGAATTACATTTTTGTGAAATTATTTTATGTATACTTTATTGAATAAAAGAAGTTTAAACCAAATTGGTTGTTTATATGACAACCATCAGCGGCCACACAAATGTTTTTCTTTGTTGATATAAAGCACGGGAATTTTCAGCAAAGATACAAATGAGCCGTGTCATGACAAATCCAACATAATGGGTTTGCGACCAGCATGGGTCCAGACCAGCCTGCGCATCCGCGCAGTCTGATCAGGAACCATGCTGTTCGCTTACAAACCCTATAACAAGTAGAGAAACTGATAGCGAACAGCATGGATCCTGATCAGACTGCGCAGATGTGCAGGCTGGTCTAGATCCATGCTGGTTGTAAACGCATTATGTTGGTTTTGTCATGACGTGGCTCAAATGATGATATCATGACAGTAACCTGTATTTGACTGAATTAGTCCTAAAGCTATGGCCTCTACCGGTCTATACCCACATGATTCTCACTTGTTCATGAAAATCAAAGTTTTTGTATGCCAATGGCATGTTTTAACATTACACTAAAAAAAACACAACCCTATGCGTTTGCTAAAAAAAATCTCAGCATTGCTATTAGATGCCCCAAAGTTAGTTTCGATTTCAGTAAATCTAAGACTAATTACACAAGTAAAATACAGTAAACTCCAACTGTATCGATATCGCTTGTAATGATATATCGGTTATATCGATACGTTTGTCTTGGTCCCTGCCAACTTCCATTATAACCTAACGGAAGCATCCTCGCATATATCGATATCGCATGTATCGATATTTCGGATATATCGATGTGGATTTTCAACCCCAACGCACATATATTACCTCTTAAAACGATAATTTGCTGCACAAGTTTGTTGTGTAAGAGCGGTCTCGGTCCGCTTGTTTTAATGCATAAATATCTGCTCGATTAAATACAATGAGGCGGAACATGTTCTGTGCGTACGTAACTACCGTTTCGTTCTCAATACAGGTGAATTCATCTCAAAAAATAAAAGCATGGTTTTGTCCTTTTATTGTTTCCTTTCAATAACAATTTTCGTTGTAAATAAGTTATACATGTACATGTAGCTAAAACAGTGAACATGTCAGAAAAACGAAAAAAGAAAAATGTTGGATATTGAAACTAAATATAAATTAATTCAAGAGATTAATCTTGGTAAACGTAAAAAACAGGACATTGCAAACGATTTTGGAATTAAACAAAACACATTAAGTTCAATCTGGAAAAATAAAGATTCTGTCATCAATGCATACGAGACTACGTCGTTCAGCCCAGCCCGTAAACGAATGCGTCATGCCAGTAATAGAGACATTGAAATGGCGCTGTTTGAGTGTTTAAGACTGTTCGATCCCAAAATGTGCCTATTGATGGACCTATGCTTACACGAAAGGCTAATTCTCTGGCATGTGAGCTGGGCATGGAAAATTTTCAGGCAACAAACGGATTTATTGAAAGATTCAAAAATCGTCATGGCATAGCGAGCAAAACATTATCCGGTGAAGCTGCTTCCGTCGATAATTCACAAACTAAAAATTGGATGCAGGCAAAACTTCCAAGTTTGATCAAGGACTATGAACCAAAAAATGTCTATAATATCGATGAAACTGGCGTTTTTTATAAAATGACCCCAAATAAAACACTAGAGGTAAAAGGAACAAAATGTTTTGGAGGCAAACAAAGCAAGGACAGAATCACAGTGCTTATCGGCGCAAATATGGACGGTTCTGATAAACTTAAACTTTTGATAATCGGAAAATTCAAAAGTCCTAGATGTTTTAAAAATGTTAAAAGTTTGCCGGTAGATTACGAAGCTAATCGTCGTGCTTGGATGAACCCAGAAATATTTATCAGTTGGGTGAAAAAACTTGACAAACGTATGACACGTGAGAAAAGATCTATTCTATTGTTTGTTGATAATTGCCCGGCCCATCCGAAAATCGAGGGATTAAAAGCTGTAAAACTGTTGTTTTTTCCACCTAGCACTACATCTAAGTTACAGCCCTGTGATCAAGGGATTATCTTTTCATTCAAAAGGCATTACAGGTCACGTGTCCTTGACCATATTATTTCATGTCTAGACAAACATATCGATAAACAGATTAACATTCTAAAAGCCATACAATGGACATGAACTTGAGACAATTTCAGTTGAAATAGGGAAAGCCAAAAAGCAGACAAAATTAACTGATTTTTTCCGACAGTGAATATCTTTGTACATGAACAAAACTTAAACAAGATTTACCCATGAGTGTAAATAGTTAAAAAAGCAATTTAATTTTGACGTTTTTTTTCCAGTGTATAAATTTAAGCCAATGTAAGGTTACCAGTACCTGTGTACATATTACTTTCGGTTTATGTCAGTTTTGTGTTTATTTTGATGTGCAACTGATTTTTTATGCATTCAACATTGATATGCATGAAAAGAATAAAGTTTTGTCGTAAGTACATGATTGTCACATGTCTAGTATATAATGATACTGCTTATACATGTTGAACGATGCAGTGCATCGTCAGTAAGCTACACACCGTACAGAAATTCGGTTGTAACGATATTCGGATATATCGATATAGTTTTGTATGTCCCCTGAATATCGTTATAAGCGGAGTTTACTGTATTACTAGAGACTAAATTGTTAACTAGTTATAAGGTATTTGAACTCAATTGCATTATTCTGTTTTTGTTTCAATATTTTAGAAAAACAATCTGTATTAATATACACAGTATCATTGCAGGTTTGTACCCGAAAGCTTCAGGTTTTATGTCGGACATGACCGTTTTGGAGATGCTGAGAATATTATCAAAACAATAGCAAGGTTTAATAAGAGACCGGTACCGGACATGTCTGGGCTGCATGCACTGAAAACATCAAAAGAGGAACAAAAACTTCTAGACAAGAAATATTCCTTTATTGATATCATAAGAAACAAAGAGCTTTTAAAGTGTACCTTACTTTTAGCAGTAGTATGGTGAGATTGTTTATTTATTTATTTATTTATTTATTTTTTCCGTGTGTTAGAGTGTCCATCGTCAACTTTTTTCAAACGACATCACCTCTGATTATTTATGTATTTATTCTGAAAATATTGGAATAATATAATTATTTATAAAAGATATATTAGTAAGTTAAGACATTATTTATTTAAGCTCAATTTTGCAACTAATGAATAACTTTTGAGTCCGCTTCCCCGAACTTACCAGAACTTGCTCAAAGGTTTTAAAACCTTTTCCTTGAGATTAAGCTCAAATCTCTGGATTTCATTGGTCCATTCACATTCTGTACCTGTTTATGACCAATCAAGTACCTGAGATCTGAGTTTTAGATTTGAATATTTCTTTATAACCTCGACCCCAGGTGTCATATGAGAAATATTTTCATTGTTAAATAAGTATTTTAGAATTGACCATAATTTCGGTGATAGTTACTCCATAGTGTGTCTCCTTGCTAAACTGAACCGACGCCTCAGAGATTAACAAAACGGATCACAGAACTTAATTATTTCTTACCATTCGGTATTTGATCAAGAAGCTGTTTCTGTAAACTTATGTCTCAAATATCAGACTAAGTTTTTATAAATCCTTGTATTTGTTTTCTTTCTATGTAAAAAATAATATGTTATTTTGTATTAAAACGACCATCTCAATAAATGCTTCGGTATGACACGATGAAAATAAATGATAACAAAAATTCAATGTTTTATTATATATGAATAAAGGTGAAACTGTATTTTTTCAAGCTATCGAAATATTTCATTGGCAGAGATATCTTAAAATACATCAAAACTTATTAATAACCCGATAATATCATTTTAAGTTATACTTGGTGATTTTAATGTCTACTTTCAGTATTTTTATGACCAAATAGTTTGATACCAATGATAATAGTGGAAAGATAAGATATATATTAAAACACAGTAATTCAAAATTATAAAATCACGGCCCGTTTATGCTTTTATAGAATAATTATTATGAAGAAATGGTCATATGAATTTATTATATATTGTATTACCAGTATTTATAGCGGGTGCCGGTAGGAAACAAGGGAATGTATAAAATATGCATGTGGCCTGAGGTATTCATATACCAGGAGGCTATATAATTAAAGTAATACATCGTACTAGCTATTAAAAATATGAAAAACAAGATCATCAAGGAAGGGCGGCGTTCAATGAACGCAATCCCCAACACGACCCGGCAACACAGGATCACCGGCAAGGAGCCCAGCAGGACACCAAACAATAGTAAAACTGCTGATAGCTATAGGTTTAATGTACGCTGGGCCAGAATGGCCAAAATATGTTAAACAGTCATATATGCCCGCCATGCTTTCAATCATATTTTGAATGAAACTATTTAAGTGAAATTTCAGTGAATGAAAATATCTTTCTTGTAAATTAATTGAATCATGTACATGTTTATGATAAAATAAAATATAATATAATGATATACGTCGAAATATTGATAAAAACTATAAGAATTTTATTCTATGACGTAGGACATGAATTGACAAATGGTTTTTAGGGATAAATTATTTAATGATATATGCCGATGAAAATCCGAGAACATTATTAAGTACAGGGTTATGATTAAAACATTTCTATTCAAGGTACTACTAGATTGTATAAGTTAGTGAAAAAAATTGTACATTTAATAAAACATGTTATATTTTCGATCCATTGAGATCGTTCAGCACGACATTAATACTATGTGTGCATGTTTGTGGTGTTTTTGGTTTCTTCTATTTTATTCTGTTTCTGGATTAGTGCGTCCATTATCCCTACAATCACTCTTAGGATATGGTGCCTGCATTTTAAATTTCTCTTTTGACGTCTTATATGTCATATGCAGGCTTTATAACCTCTGGTCTTCTTTCAAAATTCCCTTTTTTTCTATTAGGGCACATGCATTCTTTTACTTGGGGACAATAGGCTTTTCATGGAATGGCACAAAAAGTGCCACATTGAAGATTCCTTGCTAAGCGCCGTATGAACATATATTTGGGTGTTTCTTAAGTAAAAATTCCACCATGTACATAGTTAAATGTTGAATTCTGCTCATGTTTGCCGTTTTGTTTTAGACGTTCTTTAGGGATTCTGTATTACTCTGTTTTATAAACATAACACTTTTGTTCCACTAATTCAAATAATTTTTGGTTCGCAGGATCACGATTGGATTCAACACATACGGTATACAGTTTGGCGTACCAAAGCTCTCCGGAAACCTTTTCGTTAACCTCTTTATACCAAGTTTGATTGGAAGCCCAATTCAGTTTATTATCATATACTTAGAAAACAGGTAAGGAAAAGATATATTTATGTTATGGCAAATGTCGTATAACGCTTATAAGATTTTCATAAATCATTTTGTCACAAACTATTTATATTTTATATCTATATTAAAGTCTGGACAAGAAATGTCTATGACTCACAGCTGTTTGAGGGAGCTCTGTGATACTTTTCATTTCGATTCGCTCCAAACAAATATAATGATAAAAACTGATATTATTGAGTTTTCTTATTCATAATATTCTAGATCTCTAGAAAAATTTATATCTTTAGAATGTGTTTCTGTATTTTAAATGTAGCACCCACATACGTAGACTGGAAAATCATCTTCGATTTCTAAACAAACTTCAATTTGAATGCCACGTTGGTTAAATACCAACCTTATGCGGAGTTGAAACCTAGAACATAAAACATTTTCAGATGGCAAGCCTTACCAGATTTAAACATAAAAAATAACACGTGATGCAGAAATTGTCAGTCCAAAACATATTTTGCAACAAGAAAAACTTATCATTCACTCGGTTGTTTTTGTTGAATCGAAAACTTGTCTTTATATTTGTAGATTTGGCCGAAAATCAACAAGCATCTTAATGTACTTAATATGTGCTGTTTCAGCGCTCATGGTTGCTATTGCAAACCGTTTCGAAGGTTGTGGTTTATTTATTATTTTATATATCATTGTTTAAATATTCTTTCTGTATGTCACTCCGAAATATATAGATCATGAATGCAATGTATTTATTGAAAAGAATCATAATTTGTTCAGGAAGATAATTTTAAAAAATGCTAGTTTATTAATTTAGGATCCTATTTGTATTTGTAGAAACATCCAGTAGGAACACATTAATTAACGTCACTGCACTTCTTGCGCTGACTGCAATAAACTGCTCGTGGTCTCCTGTTCAAACACTTACCATTGAAAATTATCCTACTGTAGTAAGGTAAATTCCTAATTTTTACAATGATACTTCAATTAAAATACATATTCTAATTTAAATTGTTAATTTGTTCATGATTCATTATTATGCCCCCACTTCAAAGAAGAGGGGGTATATTGCTCTGCACTTGTCGGTCCGTCGGTCCGTCGGTCCGTAGACCAAATGGTTTCCGAGTGATAAATAAAGAACCCTTAGGCCTAGGAACTTCAAACTTGGTATGGTGATTGGTCATGACCAGTAGATGACCCCTATTGATTTTGGGGTCAAGGGGTCAAAGGTCAAGGTCACATTTACTTGAAGTTAAAAATGGTGTCCACTCTATACCTAAAGGACGCTTAGGCCTAGGAACTTCAAACTTGGTATGATGATTGCTCATGACCAATAGATGACCCCTATTGATTTTGGGATCAAGGGGTCAAATGTCAAGGTCACATTGACCTTGTAGGTAAAAACGGTTTCCGATCAATAACTAAAGAACGCTTAAGCCTAGGATCTTCCAACTTAGTATGGTGATTGGTCATGACCAGTAGATGACCCCTATTGATTTTGGGGTCAAAGGTCAAGGTCACATTGACCTGATAGGTAAAAACAGTATCCGATCAAAAACTTAAGAATGCTTAGGCCTAGGAACTTCAAACTTTATATGATGATTTGTCATGACCAGTAGATGACCCCTATTGATTTTGGGGTCAAGGGGTCAGTGTCAAATTGACCTTGTACCTTAAGATGGTTTCTGACCAATAACTCAACAAGTCAAGTTGCCTTGGTTGATATTTTTATATTAAACTAAAATACTTTTGGTATACACATTTGAAGGTCTTATGTAATATAACAACTTGGCTGTCATTAATGAGGCCTACATGATTCATAAATTTTATGCATATTTTTTTTTTTGATAAGATTTGTAATAAATTAAATTGCTGCACACAACCTATGGGGTCACAATAATTATTACCTTGTGACTAGTCATGACCAGTAGATAACCCTTATTAATTTTTTGTTCTCTGGGTCAAAAGTCATGCATAATAACTTGATCACATTACTAATTTGCTGCTCATAGGGGGCATACATGTTTTACAAACATATCTTGTTTTTTTTTAAATTCAGGTGCTAAAACGTTTTCCAAATTGGCTTAAAGATTTTAGTAATTAATATAAGTCTCTGACAATTTTCAATAAAAGTATTGAACATTTGCAAATATTTTGATACACCTTGTCAAAATGTTTTGTCAATCTTGGGAGTCTAATTTATTTGTCATTTGTTTTGTAGAAATCTTGGATTTGGTTTGCATAACACAATATCAAGGATAGGCGCTATCATTGGGCCGCAACTTGTGTTTCTGGTAAACAAATGTTTTGAATTTTGTTGTTCATACAGTCTAGCATTTAAACAAAAATTGTTTTTTGCATTACGTAATCATATTGTCTTTCCTTAAATTTTATATCGTACTTTGAAAGATAAGAAGAAAGATAAAGAAATTCTGTAATTGGAATTAATGCGGATGCCTTTCTTTGTTTATACAATAATTTGTCCCGATGCTATTGAAGAAGATGATAAGAGTAACTTCGCGAATTGCTTCAACGCTCATGACTGGCTGCCCCTGTAGTATTATATGTACATAGTCACCTGATGCCTCCTAATGCTGTCCTGTGCGACAGAATATTGTTTTTCACTCCCATGTTTTACGCCAAAAACATTAATATATGACAAGCAGAATTATCATTAAAATCGGACAGAACTGAAAAAAATTACTTCAGAATTAAATACAATTGACTTTGTTTCCGTCAAACTTATGTCATAAAAAAGTCCATTTAAATCAACAATACAAAAAAAGAACTGAAAATGTCTCAGGATCGAATTTTCTCTTTTGGTAACGTCATGTTAAACATTTTCATGTACGCCTGTGAAGTCATCTCGTTGTCGTACAATATATCTGTTGTTCACCAGTGTCCAGGTAATAATATATATATATCACATCCCACTAAGGGAGACAGAGCTAAATGTTTACCCTTGATAAGTAATGTAACACTAGACAACAGCTGTGGTATACATTGTCTTGTCAATGGTAAACATTTTGTTTTATCACCTGCAGTGGGATATGATATATCGTTTATTATACAAAACACATCAATATTCAGAATAGAGATCTCAACCTCAATGTCTAATAACTAAAACATTGAGCTGGTAGAGGCTTGGAGGTTTTTAAAGTAATGTCAGCAGGTCGAAATTAGATCTCACGACGTGGCATTCTGCATTTTTACCGTCTGGCGTCCCATAAGACCTTTAAAGAAAAAGACGAACAGCTGTATGTAGGATAATGATGCAAGTGTTCGAAAACTCTGCTACAATGAAATACCTCAATAAGTAATGTGAATTAAAATAATACAATTATAATACGATTATTATCATCATGCTATTTTGTCTCTTCAAAGTACAATTGCTCGTTTGTTTGTTTTTTAGGGTTTTTTTAACATAATTTATATTGTGTCTACAATTTGCAGGATACAAAGGTGTCAGGGATAATGTATTGGATTTGTAGCGCGGCTGCCTTGATCTCCATCGTATGTATTCTTCCAATGCGAGAAACTAATGGTATTGATCTCGAGGACAAAATACATGAACGGAGTAACGGTGTCGACTCTAATGAGGAATCGGTGAAGAAGATCTTTGAAGAAGAGGAAGAAATGCTGAATGCAATGTAGGATAGCGATACAAGTGTTCGGAAAAAAATCTGCTGCAAAGAAGTGTATGGTTATCTATGACTACAAAATTTTAATGTTTCTTGTGAATCATTTTCTGTGTATGGATTATAACTGTTTTGATGTTGACAGAAGGCTGATAAATATGTGAATAGAAATCAGAATAGACTAACCCCAGAATTGAGAATATTCGGGGTTTTCATAGCTAAACCGTAGGTACAAACATATTTTTACGGTTACCCCTTCGAAAACAGGTTGACTAATCTATTGTGACGGGAAGTGCATTGTCTGTACATTATCTGGGGAAAAAACACTCCTACAGCCGTGAAATAATTGGAAACGATCGAATGAAATGCATTGAATATATTCAGTCTGTGCTGTTATATAATGGTATTAATGGGCAGATATGACAGAACAGTTTAAACAGTTGTTTTATTGTTTGTTTAATTGCGGTTTTACGTCACACCGTACGTCACACCGACATATTATAGGACATATGGCGACGTCATAATTTCAGGCACGAACGGGCACCTGAGTAGAACCACCGACGTTCCATAAGCTAGCTGGATAACTTCCTTACATGAAAGATTCCAAAGTCCCTGTCGGTTAAACGGTTTAAAGCTAGCATAATGCAACTTACCGTGTTGTAACTATACACACTGTAAAACACGTTATATTAAGTTCTTTATAACTTATTTATAATGTTGCAAAAATGCTTTTGTAATTATGATAAAAAAAATACTCACACATGTACATTTGCTATAATCGTATATAAATAAATGAATTCAGAAAATATAAGCGTCACTATTGACCAGTGAAAATGTATGTTACAAAAAAAATTGTTTTTACTATGTGTTCTATATATAGCTTTAACAATAGAAATGGACAAAGTGTTATATAATATATGCTCAAATGTGTAACCACAAGTTGTTTTGTGAGTTTCATGTAGCCTTGTATATGGACAGCTAGGTCCTCGCGTTATATTTCTTGTACGAATAGAGAACATATCGAATAAGATAAAAGAAACATTGAATATGTATTTAATTTTTTATCTTTATGGTCTATTCATATTACATCCAATATAAATATATAATACAGCAAGTTGTGAAGATGAAAAATTTACAACTTTAATAACATTTTAATATACTCTTGTACATTGAATTTGTTCACAATTTTCATATATTGATAACACATGTATTTATACTAGTATGTAAGATGTAGGAGAAACATATACTTTATAGTGTTATAAAATATACATATGCTTATATATTGATATATATGCAACAATGGCTTTCCGGTTTTCTAGCATATATTTAAGTGTCTTATGTTATAGTCTTATTGAAATTTTCAACATGATATAAATATATTGTGTAATTAAACTGTTGTATTCTTCTCAAAATGTTAATCTAACTAGTTTTTTTTAAAACCATGTTCTAAAAATAAATGTTTAATTATTTTGATTAAAACCATTAATATAGAAAGCTTTATATGTATATCATGATTACTAAATAACTAATGTATCTATAAACTGACTTTATTTTACAATCCAACCTGAATTTAAAACAAAATAAACACATTTTTCATGAAATTAAATTAAAATAGTTTTTAAATATCAAGTACAATAAAAGTGTGGTAATGTCGCGTTTTTTCCCAATCATTTTCACCCTTATCACTTTGTCTGCTTCGTTTTCAGTACAAATAATTCATATATCATTGTGTCTTAAGCTGTAATAATACATAGCATTAAATGCACGACTCGTCCCTCTTTTAAACTAAAAACATCATAATTATCTCCCTTAAATTTTGGTATAAATATTTTTGCTGCAAAAGTATTGCCCTTTAATAAATGACGTAAATGTTAATCATTTAAACACATTCATGTCTATATTTCATATCTTTCATGCAATGGTCGAATTTTCACACTTATTTAGTTCATCCGGATAGAAACGTCATCTGGAGTGGCACCATTGAAACTGAAATGACATAAAATAAATATTTAATACCGTCAATGTATCTTTTAATTGTTTGCATTTTTCACAATGTAATATTATCTAACAAGAAATAAGAATACAGCAAGTATGAAGGTTATGGTCATCTGTTGTTTTTCTTCAGCTGTGTTTTTTTCTTGCCATCGAAAAGGTTATTTCTTTTGCTAATTTAATTGCAACATTTCCATTTGCATCGAAACAAGTATTTCCATTGCTGTGAAGTTTAGTCGCATTAACAGGGAAAGTGTAATTACATGTTGCTTTAAACGCAGCAAATTTGTTTTGTACAGGTAACAACTTACTTGCTCTTAATGTTTATTGGGGCTCTTTTTCGTTTCATCTGTTTAACCAGTTGCTTTTGTTTTGCTCTAATGTTTTTTCGCTTTTCATTAACTTTATTTTCCTTTACATAGAATATTCTTACTAAATAATTTTCAAATGGCTCGTATTTAACTATTTGTTACTCTCCTGCGGTCGAATGTTCCGCGATCGCTCACTTTCTTAGTAACGTGAGTGTATTCAGTGAGCTGCGAAGGGAGCGTAACTATTTGTGTGCTTGAACCTTTTTTTAACGTCAATTGGTACTTTCTTTTTCCATATAAATGATATGTTCTTTTATCTATAACTTGTATGTGCCTTACAAGTTACAAGTTTTGTTGCATTTTGATTTATCTGAATTTATATTTATACAGCTTTACTCGTAACAATCCCGTGCCTGACACACAATCCTTTTGCTTTACCTGTTTTTTTTGTTTTGTTTTTTTTGTTGTTGTTTTTTTTTTTTGGGGGGGGGGGTGAATGGGGGGCGGTGGGTTGGGGGGGGCGGTGGGTTGAGGGATGTGTACGTCACACCAACACAGTATAGCTCATGGCGACTTTTAAGCTTAACTGGTGGAGGAAGACTTCAGGTGCCCTTCCATGCATTATTTCAGGCATGAACAGCACCTGAATAGATTCCCCGGCGTTCCGTACACCTGGACATTTTCTTGATTATACTAATTAAGGAAAACGAAATATGTTCAGGTAATCACAATTACTTAAGTATAAGAAAAAACGGTACTGTAAAGGAAGACTTAACAAGTAATGTTGGCAACTGTTTTGGGGAAAACTATTGAAAACAGGAAACAATCCTCTGGACTATGTACTGGGAAAAGTTAAATATACAGGTTTTTCCGATATAGTATACATAATTTCACCATAAGCATTGTATCAAAATATTCTTATAATCTTATATTTTAAATGTTTATTTATAATATGATAAAGTGACAAATAAAACAATTTCGACATTCCAAATCTAGCCTTCATTTTACAGACACAAAGATTTCATTAGAATGTCGTTATTGCTATATTACATCTGTCAAAAATACTATATGGTCTTAATAGTATAGAGAACTGTAATAATACATTTAATTGAACTGTAATAAAAAGATATAATTTTAATAGATAAATACTTTATACGATATACAAGATATACATTCTGTATCAGAAACATAAATGTCAATTCTAAAAAAAAAAATTATTTCAAATTATTAGTCCCCTACCGGTTTACCGGAGGGGACTTTAGGTTTACCCTCCGTCCGTCTGTCTGTCCGTCCGTCAGTCCGTCCGTCCGTCCGTCTGTCCGTCCGTCCGTCAGTCCGTCCGTCCACAAAACTGGATCCCGCGATAACGCAAAAAGTACTGAAAATATTTTAATGAAACTAGATATATGGATAGATGGCAGTATGGAGATTATGCACGTCTTTTTCTTTTCTTCCTATGTTGAAAATTCTGGTTGCTATGGCAACAAATAGACTGAAAATATGGCAAATTTTACACATAACCTGGATCCCGCGATAACGCAAAAAGTACTAAAAATATTTTTATGAAACTTGATATATGGATAGATGGCAGTATGGAGATTATGCACATCTTTTTCTTTTCTTCCTATGTTGAAAATTCTGGTTGCTATGGCAACAAATAGACTGAAAATATGGCAAATTTTACACATAACCTGGATCCCGCGATAACGCAAAAAGTACTGAAATTATTTTTATGAAACTTGATATATGGATAGATGGCAGTATGGAGATTATGCACGTCTTTTTCTTTTCTTCCTATGTTGAAAATTCTGGTTGCTATGGCAACAAATAGACTGAAAATATGGCAAATTTTACACATAACCTGGATCCAGTGATAACACAAAAAGTACTGAAAATATGTTTATGAAACTTGACATATGGGTAGATGGCAGTATGGAAATTATGCACATCCTTTTTTATCTTCCTATGTTGAAAATTCTGGTTGCTATGGCAACAAATAGACTGAATTTCAAGATTTCTGATTCTAGTTTTTAAGTTTTTTCACTATAAGTTCTTTATTTCATAAGGTATTTTCTTCAAACTTTAAATATAAGCTGCTTGTCATCAACCACATCATATGTGACAAGGTTTACAACTCTAGCACAAAATTTATCAGAATTACCTCCCTTGAACTTAAAATTTTCATGAAAAAAACATTGTTTTTTTTAGTAACTTCTTTTTCTGAATGTATCTACTTCAAACTTCATATAAATGTTTCTTATTGTCACTCAACATTTGTGAGTGTTCAATACTCTAGCAAGACTATTTCCAGAATTATGCCCCTTTTGAACTTAGACTTTTTTTTAAGAAATTGGTAATTTTTACTCCAACTTCTTCAATCATGATAGGATTTTAAAAATGTTATATTTTGATAACAGGGATGTTTAAAAAATAACTTTAGAGTGTCCTTCAGTCCGTCTGTCTGTACATAAAAACTTTTTCCTGTGATCACTTTTAAAGAACTTTTTCAACAAATTTACTTAAAATAGGAACCTAAGTGAATGGCCAATGGCCCTTCAGAATGTTGCTTGGGCTTTTACCGGTAGGGGACTTATGGATTGCTTGCAATACTATGATAATTGCTTGTTCTTTCTAATTTTCCGTTTTAAATGCTTATTTCAACATTTCTCAACATTTACTGCAGGTACATGTATATGTACATGTCATTAAGACAAAATTTGGTGTAAAATAACCTTTGATATCGAATAATATAATGTGCGTTTCAATGTGTTTCATAGTATAATTAGTTAAAAATTATATTTTTGATGTTTCGAAATGTCACCACATTTTTATAATCATGTCCCTTCGAATAATGATGTTAATTTGCGCATTTCTAACTTTACAACAAGAGTTTGGCGATATACTGTGCTCCTCTTAGTTCACGGTACTTAACACTTTAAAACAGTAAAGAACACAAACAATAAACTTACATAACAAAAACTGTTATAAACTGTATCATTTAGTCATTTTTCTGTTATATGACACAATGAAACAACAATATATTCAATCAAAATTAGTTTTAATTTGTCAGATGTAAAACGTGTGTCGGCCATTTTGAAAACAGTATGTCATCATTTACCTCGCGGTAATGGTGTTTTATTTCAGTTTTTCTTGTTTCAGTTAAAATTTCTTAAAGTTATTTTGCATAATTTTAAATATTAAAAGTATCTTTACATTGTAACTCAAAATTTATTTTTTCAACAAACAAGAACATTTAGAAAATGATGATTGTTTCAGACATATGCACAAATTTAATGGACTATTGTTGTTTTTTGCAGAAGTTTGTAAAATGTTGTTCAGTTTTACGTAAAAATCTATAGATTTAAATTATTTTGCACAAAAACTTTGTTGTTAAGGTGGTTGAATAAAAAATGTCAATTCTGACCAATTATAACAATGGTCACATGAAAATATGCCATTACCGTGAGATAAGTGATGACGCGGAATTAGTGATGTTGAGTATACTAAATAAGGCACAATGATAAAGACACTACATATACAACTACATATACATGATATATACAACGTATTAAAATAATGGTACAAGCGTCAACGAATTTGTAATATTCTTTACCCTTAAAGGGACTCCACTGAGGGTTTTTTTTATACAAGACGGGACTGGAAATTATTATTTTTCGAGGTAATTGTTCTATTTGATTTAGATCTAGACCAATAACTTGGATGCAAACATTCAAATCCTTCGCTCACTCCGTTGTTTGTTTGTTTATTTGTTGTTGTTGTTTTATTTTTTTTTGTTTTTTTTTTTTTGTTCATTTCTGAGTATATTTCTTAATCAACTTTTGAATATCTTTTTGTTCTTAGTGCCCTATCATATCTATGTAAGAAATTCAAATGGTATGATTTAGGCTTTTGTACCGCAGTGGTTCATTTAACCTGCCGAAACTATTATATAGCCTTGTCCAGCTTCAATATAAAGATTAAAATTAAAAGTTGTTCAGCCAACAGTATTTAGATAGGTCAGACTGCAATGGTGTCTATGCTGATCTGGCTTTAAAATGATGATAAATGCTAATCACTTCCGGTCCCAGCAGACTAAGGGTTAATGAAATTTTAGTAGATTTACACAATATTTAGTAAATTTGAGCAAAGAAGCCATGTAAAGCTGTTTTAGTAAAAACATCGTTGTTCATGAAAGTTTTTAGTAAAATCTTGATATAGCAAGAACAACTATCAATGCAAAGAAAGTTATATCGCCTACTCATGAGCTTATGTAAATCGAGATGCATTATTTCGAACCAAAGGAAAATATTCCAAGTGAAATAGTTTGACTTGAATGAACGCTCACTTTAGGAAAGCATTCGAACAAATATGATGAAATGTATTATATGGAAACTGTATTTAAAAAATACTTAAAGAAGATTAAATGTGTATAGACATACAGTTCTTTAACAATGTTCTGTACTGTAGAGAATAAATTTAGACTCACCGGCTCATCCAATATGATTTTATTAGATACTCGTTTTATTTCCATATTGTACAGAGAACGGCTTTATTTGCCTTTTATTAAACGGCACACATAATTTTCAAAATGTATAATTCGTTTGCTTGCTTTGATTAAGCGAACTATGCACTTGATATAACGAAAATAAGAAATTAAGATCATCACTATGTACAATATATACCAGATCATCGCAAATGGTCTGTTTTAAATACTGAACGAGTTTTTCCACGGCGTGTTTTGTAATTATCTACGTAATATATACATAACAATAAGAAATAAAAAAAAGATATAGATATCTAAATAGTTGCTATAAAAAGTATAATTTACTGAAAAGGAATTTTATTATTAAATATATCCATGACCTCATGAAAAAAATATACGTAGCATTTCAACAATGTTCTTAATAAAAGTCAGGTGTTATTGTTGAGATATCTACGACATTTAGAGAAAGGCTTTGGTATTAGTTGCATTTTACAGAAAGGAATCAGTCGAAATTGGAAACGATAGAAATATATTTTGCAATCATTGATATACTGGGCATATAACAACAAACGTATTGGCAACGGATTCTGACTGAAAACGTGAAAGACCATATAATATATAGTATACATGTTGTGTCTAACAAGAGATAAACTTTTATGAAATGAGCCGTGTCACGACAAAACCAACATAATGGGTTTGCGATCAGCATGGATCCAGACCAGCCTGCGCATTCGCGCAGTCTGATCAGGATCCATGCTGTTCGCTTACCAACTCTATTACAAGTAGAGAAACTGATAGCGAACAGCATGGATCCTGATCAGACTGCGCGGATGCGCAGGCTGGTCTGGATCCATGCTGGTCGCAAACCCATTATGTTGGTTTTGTCGTGACGCGGCTCAAATGTGTTCAGGAAAATGTTATTGAATGAGCAACCTTTATAACCTTTTACCTGAACGAATTTTTTTTCACATCACACCTTATAAAATTTAACCAATGAACTTCTAGTATTTGCATCATGTGATCTCCCAAAAAAAATATAATTGGATCCAATCTAATTTAATTAGCCTCGTTTTCGTTTTGAAATTAGAAACAGTCGATATCAAATTACTATTGTACTCCGTCTAGCCTCGTTTTCATTTCCCCATTTATTATAAGGTGTGAAATGAAAAACAAAATGCATACTGTTCACATTACATAGAAAACAAGGTAAGTCACGTGATTTAGATATGCAAGAATATGGATGGCTGACACATTGCTTCACAAGGAAAACAGACAGATAAAAGGTAGCAATAGCATAAAGCTCTTCCACAAATTCCGTTACCTGGAAACTGCGGTATAATCACAGTTTTTGTCTCCCCTGTAGGATTTTCTCCTATAAAATATTTAGGCCCTACATGGTTTATATATGTATGTTTGCTCTGTCAAAAATGGGTGTTTCACTTAACTAAAATGAAATTATTTAACCCACGTGTTTCGGTTTCTTTGTTTGACCTGTTCTCGAAATATTCATTCATATGTATAATTATGTAAGTGGAAAATGTCACACATGCCCTGTTCTCATATATGTAACTACGATAGAATCCCTTCTTAAGTATGTAAGCAATGATAAGAATATCCACAATTAAGAAAACCCAGCAATTAAAACCACTTTGGTCCAGTACCGATGGTGGTCTTAACTGAAGAGTTTTACTGTACATTTTAAAACTTGATGGCGGATATTAACAATCGTGAGAATCAATTTAGGTCAAACCATCAGTGTGTCCGTATTTGAACAGAAGCAAACACTAAAAGTTATCTTGTCACAACACATATTTCCATAAACCATAATCCAATAACCAGAACATATTATATTTGTAAGTGTTTATGAGAACTCTTTTTCAATTTTACATGTTTATAGCAACTCTAGTTTTAGGAAACGACAAACTAACCTCTTACGCTTACATATATAACATTGAAAAACAAACAGTTAGGGTTTAACATACATGCATATAAGTATTTATGTATATATCTAATAGTTATGTCCAAAGCCATTGGCGCATTTTCATTGAAAGCTGCGGGAAATTTATATGCCATTTATTCATTTTCGTAAAAAACGACAAAAGAATATGTTTAGTCAACTAAATGATCGTATACGTACCCGGTATTGACGTACATTTCGTCAGGTTCGTCTTGCGGTGTGGGAGGTGGTGCCCGGCGACGGCGAGATTTCTGGAAGATTGTGAGTCCACGAGACTTCCGTTTCACGTACTTGTTCTGGATCGGTGGTGATGGGGCCTGTAATATGTATTTCTATAGATATAAATTTACATCAGTGCTAATATTTGTGTTGTTTTTGCTGTTAGTTCTTAGTTCCTTCAATTTTGCCGAATTCAAAAAAAAACGAATGTGTAACTTAAGGCTGAATATCACTCAACACAAAGTATTGAAATGATGTACATGTATAGCCAGTTATCTACTTTAACCTATAACCTTTTTGATATTTTTTTCTTGCCATTTATTAACAAAAAAAAACTTAACCCGTCACTGAATAACGTCAATGTGGAGTATGTGCTAAAGAATAAAAATGAAGCGTTGGTATTTTTTCATAGTGAAAAAGTACATGTATAATCTTAATGACTGTGTAGCTTAGTAATTTTAAGATGTATTACTATGTAAAAAAATTTCGAGGTGTTAAACCATAACAAGAGGTCATTAATGGCCCTACACCGGTCATCTTAAATCCATTGCAAACTAAATAGAAGTTAACAATGCTACTTTTCAAATACATAAACTTCTTTGGGAAAAGAAAACTTTTGAAGGTATCTCTTTTTAAAGTCTATGTAAGACCTAGTGAACTCTATGGCAAGGTCACTTTTGAGCACAATGTCATCATTTAAAAATGATCAGTGTAGTCCACTGTACACTTTAACACAAGAAAATGTCTAAGCTCTAGGGCTTGCAGTTTTGGAATTGACGGACTTAAAATGTTTTTTTTCTTTATAATACTACTTAAAACCAAGTGACGCCAGTGCTGAGTTCAATGTTGAACCAAAGGTTATGCTCTGAAGACAATTGGTAAAAGTCTATTGGAAATAATACATACGAAATATTTTAGGTCCATGAATTGGCTTTAAGGTAGGACAAATGTTGACTACATGACTCTAAATAAAATAAAGGGGTCACCAGTTTTGACCCCAGGGTGTTGATTTGAAAATGCTTATATTAGTAATGGTCAAAAGTCTTAAAAAAACAATGCTACACATGAAATATTTGAACAGTATACATCAGCGTGATTTGAAAGTTCTCTTAAATAAGATTTATGTATAATCAAATGGCAAGATTTTACCCCAGGATCACTAATTGAAAACATTTAGTTGTGGTCCACTACACAATGCTTCACACTAAATGTCTAACCTCTAAGCATTGACGTTACAGAGTAGATTTTAAAGGCTTTTCCTCTAACGCTCTATATAGAAAACAGTGACTCCAGGGCAAGGTGATTTTTCCCCAGGTTCATAATTTAAATAAACTTAATAGTGATCCACTATAAAATATCAAATTTATCAGATCTAGAATAACAGTTATAGAAGAGACTCCTATTAAAACAGGCGGACGGCGAACAGTAACGATACTCAAAGATTATCATGAACTGTGTTTACGTGAGCTCATAAAAATATATTATCTTAATATGCGCATGCGTATAAATAAGTGTCGCCTACCGGTGCCATGTACAATTCTTCATCGTCTCCTTCCTCCTCCTCCTCTATTGATGTCTCAAGAGCTTGTGCATGTGCCGGTGGTCTCATTGGTTCCCCTGGCTTTGGTCTACCAGCGTTTGAGGTGCTGGGCTCCCCGTCCATTTCGTGCATTTCTCTCCCCTTATTAGACGTAGCTGCGTCATCAGTGTCTTAAATGGTGACATAATTATTCATTTAAAATTCTATTATGAAACAGATTGCCTTTAATATTATAACAATGAAAATTCTACAACAATTCAATTTCACTACTGAACATTCAAAAATTATTCTAAATAAATATTTATCATAACAATTTATTTAATATCGTATTTTATATTTAATATTTTTAGGCTATTTTATATCCCCAGGAGGCAAAACAAAACTTTTTATGTGGCAATGTGGTAATTAATGTTTCCTAATCTTTCACGCAAATCAAGCGCATGCCTGCCAAACAAACTTCTTGTAGCCTTGAATAATACTAAAAACTTCTAGCTTTGTAAAAAAAACTCAAAAAACGCTAGCGTTGTTCAAAATAAAACCAGTAAAAAGCTAAAAATGCGAACATCAAAAATAAATGGGGGATACAAATTTCAATAAATTCATATAAGGTTGTATCTTTGGATTGTTTTGAAGCAATAGCGGGGAACAGATAGCATTAGACACGTATTGTCGTCATCCACATCATCACAATAAACAAACGTGTCGTGGTTAAAAATCAAACGTACAAAAATGAGGAACATTGTTTCCCATTTAATTTCAAGGCATATAAAAGGAGACATAATAAACACAATCTTTCTCCAAATATTTGTTTATTTTTAGTTTATTTTTTTCTGATATGAACACGATTTACATGGTACATGCAATGGAAACTTGTCAATGCCACAATAATTACACATTAACGACTGTTAAATTGATTAGACAAACATATGCATGTACTATTTTTGCTTATGAACATTTAAAAATGATTTACAATGACTATTACAATAGATTTAGTGGGGGATCGGCATGCGCCCTAATCCCCACACCAACCCCCAGTTTCTTTGCCTCTCCTTGGCACCCTGGCAGAAATATTAATTACCCCCCCCCCTGCCCCAACAAGAATTTCTGCGTCCGTCTCTGTATAAAGACAACGTAAAAAGTGCTATAAAAGTAAAGTATATAATACCTTGTTGTATACTCATAGGTTAAGAAAGACTTTTTTCAAGCAATGTTGGGAAATTTATGTCAAAAAATGAAATAACTCTTCATGAAAATCGTAATAATATTTCGTCAATACAAAAATGTATTTCTTAATTAAATTACGTATTTTCAAAAAAAAAGTAATATATTTCGTAAATGCGTAACGTTTTTCGTAATACTTATGTTACTTCGTAAAAACGAAAAGAAAATAAAACAACGTAATAAAATTCTTAAAAATTATGTGTCTACATATAACTCTGTATCATTAAAACACAACAAGATCACGGTTGCACGGTTGCTTTTGAGCACGGGTATGTTAAAAAAAGCACATCACACATCATAAAATTATATAACCAATAGCTCAATAACATGATATACATACCAGATGGACCTGCTGTAAATGTTAAATATGATTATATTGATTTTTTAAATAGATTGTGCCATTATTTCACACTTCTTTGAGTGTCATGTATTCTTTCCCCAGCTGAGATTGTTAACTATATTTCCCCTGCTTTGAAGTTAGAACTGTCTGATTTTAGTTGGGATAAAATCCAAACTAGACTAGTGTACTAGTGTTCAAACCCGAAATTTCCAACCATAAAGGGTAAAGCCCACAACAGTGACGTTTCATCACCACTACAGATGGAGTTTAGGTGGCAACAGAATATAACTTGGCTTGTGTGCAGGAAACTTCAGTTAAATCTAGATCTATATCAGCGGTATAAGTCTAATATAATTTCCATCTTCACAACAATGGTAAAATTTGAATTACAAATTCGTCTATTAGATTAATAACTTATGTCAAAAAATATCTTGCCATTTTACAGAACGACAGTTGTTCATATCAAAGACTTAAACCTTTTACTTACAAAAAGTACAATGGAAAACATTGCGTATTTCACGTATTATTCAAAATATGTCTAACCCATTACAGACTTGAGAGGATATAAGAGAAATTGGAAAACTTTTCTTTAAACAAATAGACGTTTTTCTTTATGTATATGTATATATAATGTAAGCTTAGAAGGAAATGTTTTTAAATCAATTATGTTTGAGTTAAAAAGGTGTGAATGAATCTCTGAAGTTATACCATTACGTTAAAGTCTTACATTGGTCAAATGAAACACTTAAAATAAAATAATCTACAAAGGATAATGAAGAAATATGCTCAGAATTATAAAAGTAAAATTCGATTTATGTGCCATCCTTAGCTGGGTTGAAGTGAAAATCGTTGCAACGCTTTTAATATTTTAACTATTTTGCACAATAATAATTATGATTCTGGAAAAACGGAGTGGGGGAATGATCTAAAAAAATGCACACAAGTTATTTGTCCAGACTTGCTTCCAATGGTATATAAATCTCGGGAAAATATTTCTAGTCCGATCATGTCAAAAATCCTCAGTTGAGTGCCTTTAATTGTAGTACGATGGCGAGGTTCGGTGAATAATTACTGTGTAATTGTTTTTGGCAGTACTTGAGTTTGAATGTATTAACTTAATATTTATATCAACCTTCATTAATATACGCCAAGTATTCATGAATAATATTCCATTTTGTAGCTTAAATCTTCGAACTTAACAGCCATCCCACGTACAAGCAAATCGAAGACTTTTTGACATTTCATCACGTTTCAGAGTTGTGACAATTTTTAAAAGTTCTTGGGTACATTTAATTCATTTAATCGGCACTAAAAGGACATTATTCCGTTAAAAGTAGTGTAACATACTCGCATAGATTCAAAGGATTCAAAATTTAGTGTTTGAAAATGAGCCGCGTCACGACAAAACCAACATAGTGGGTTTGCGACCAGCATGGATCCAGACCAGCCTGCGCATCCGCGCAGTCTGATCAGGATCCATGCTGTTCGCTATCAGTTTCTTTACATGTAATAGGGTGGGCAAGCGAACAGCATGGATCCTGATCAGACTGCGCGGATGCGCAGGCTGGTCTTGATCCATGCTGGTCGCAAACCCATTATGTTGGTTTTGTCATGGCGCGGCTCAAATATTGTTTGTCCAATAGGATTGCAGTATTGCAGATGAATCGTAACACATTTACTTTGGTAAATCGGCAAACTGTAAATCGACAGTTTATAAAAATAATTTCTAAACTAAATTGTTTATAAAAAATATTTTCAAAACTAAATTGTTTATAAAAAAAATCAAAACTAAATTGGTGCGCATTCACCAAATTAAATCGGTCCAATTTAATTTTGTAAATGTTTACTGATAAACACTAACTGATATATAATTTCAACCAGTAGTCTGCATTTATTCCTTCTTGACAGATTTAATTTTCATTAATACTGCCTAATAACAAAACTTATACATTGGGAGTGTGTGATGTTTCCATATAGAAAGAAAATTACACATACAAAATAAAACTATAACACAGAAAAATAAATATATTACTTTTTGAAATATTCACACAAGTATCTTTAGTGTATTTTAAAAGTATGTCGTTTTTCATAACATTTGTAATGAGAAATTTAACAACAACACACACATTAGGTTTTTTCCAAAATGATGACATTTATTTATTCTTTACCTGCATCAAGTACTTCATTAGCATCTTGAAGAACATCTACACCAAAGAACGTGGTCAGTGCGTTGGGAAATCTGAGGTCAAGCAATCTTATAACGATTCCGGAAACAACACAGAAAATACCTATACATGAACGAAAAAAACAGTGAAAAAATTATTATCCAATGTTGAAATTGACGTAATGACGATTTATGCTGAGAAATAAGTTGCATGTTTGTATACTCCTTTGTCAAACATGAGATCCGTAAAATACCTATCAACCATTGTTACATCAATTAGCTTTACTACATTCAAATATCAGTCAAACTAGGTTTATGATTGCAGGCCACGTGGGTTCAGGCGAAACCGTTGTTTCCTTTAACAAGAAACTTTTCACTCATTGCTAAGTACTGATTAGTTCCAGGAACGGATTCAATAGTGTTTCAATAAGCCTATAGTTTCGAACTAAAATAAATTCATATAAACTAATCGAGCTTTAGCCAAGCATGCAATAAGTTACAATTACGATGTTCTTATGAAGCCTTGAAAGCGGCCTATCTTATGTAAGCAAAGTGTCGTTATTTTGGTTCATATGTTAGTGTATCTTGCTGATACTGATTGTTTTTACCAAGCGTTTGAATATATGCCATAATTTCTTGATTAAAGGCCCATTATGTCTGAGAAATGCTATCATTTTCATTTCTCAGAAACTTTTTTTAATTTTGGTATCTTGTTATAGTTTTCAAAAAAATAATACTCATTTACCACAAAGATGAACCATCTTTACATCTTTTGCTCTATTGGTAATTGTTATACCTGTAATTATATTGAACTAGTACTTTGCACGGAAGTCAAATTCTACTTTGTTTACATTTTGCTATCTTTACAGTGCAACTTTCTTCATTTGAGTTGTTAAACATCTCATGTGCTATAAATTCATTATTAAAACATTATTAACCATTTTTCACATTTTTTAATTAAAAATGATATGGATTTCTGAGGCATAATGAGCCTTTAATTGTTTGGGTCCGGCAGCGCCGAACATTATAATTATTACGACTAATAAATGGTCTTTGGCTATGTTTTATAGTGGATAGGTCTACGATGAGCAAATTTTCCAACATATTTAGAAAGAAAAATTATCTGAATAATAATAATAATATTTTGTTCTTTAGCACTTTATTATATGCTATATAATTATGTAATATCGGATCATGTATATCACACTAATTCTTGTCAATAAATTCCATGCATAATTCTTTCGTGATCAGATCTAAAACTAAATAATATCAATGTTATTATTCATTGTATTACAGACCTTCCATTATAGATCAATTCCGAGTCACCAAACCAAGAATAAATAGCCTTTGAATTTCAAAATCCTATATGACTCGTTGTTTTTTGCGAATTGTTAATTGTCAATTTGGGGATATCAAGATGAAAATTTAAACACATCCGGCGCTCTATGATGCTGACAAAGGCTTATCAATTTCGGTTCCAGGAAAGAAAGGGTTAAGTATTAAAGATAAAACACTTATAAATGGTGTATAAATCTGGTTTTTCGCTTGTTTTGATTGTCTCCCTTTGTACACTTCGGTTGGGCTATTGCTATAATACGAAGCATGTGTAATCTACAGCAACAAGGAGCTATTTTTACCTTACATTTTGGCTTAAAATTGTTAAAATAACCAAAATATTGGGTGTCCTATTTGGGCATGTTTTAAACCATTGCGAGAAAACTCGTTTTTCCCCGTACAACTTAAAGGGACTTTAAGCTGTACGGGGGACGAGTTTTCTCAGTCTTTACTGTTTAGTTTAATCCTTCTGGTCTCAAACATATTTTGCGAATAATGGATTCAATGAACAATGTTTAAATTATCATGTATCTTACTTTTCTGTAGTTTGTATTATACCGCCAAAATGGTTCTTGGCGATGAACATGTATAATTATGTTTTTGCCAATTAATTATTTGACGTGACTTGACTTGATCATTTTTCTTAATAGTAATAAAAAATCAAGCCGAACAGATGTACGAAGTATTTCACAAACCTGTTATAAGAGTTATATAAAACGATCCACCATAAGAGAATTCCATTATCCCATCTTCCCATGGTATTTTAAGTTCGAGGGGATTTCTCAGTGTAGCCCAGATGATGTTAGCAACAATCATACACGTGCCGGTGAGCATGAGAAAGTTAGCGCCGTATGACAACAAAACGAAGAAGAGAATGTTCGTGAGCACCCATAGCGGGAAACATAGCCTGAAATGTATGGAACGCCGTATTAGTTTCTTGTGGGTTTTTTTGTGGGTTTTTTGTTGTTTTTTTTTTTTTTTTTTTTTTTTTTTTTTTTTTTTGATACAATGTACTATGTCGTGGCAACGAGTTACTAATTCGTGGCCACGAGATAGTTAAGTCGCAGGAACGAGATACTATGTCGTGGTCACGTGTTACTAAGTCGTGACCACGAGATAATTAGGTCGTGGCCACGAGATACTATGTCGTCTTTGTCCTTTTTCGAGAATTTGTTAGTGATTTCTGTTTGTTGTTACTGATGGACCCCTTTGATTAAAACTGAAGATAATTTGCAGGTCAACTTACCACATCAAAATATGAGAATACCAGCCAGCTTGTCTGTAATGCCGACCCCATCGTATCCCTTCACCATCAAATGTGAAATATTCCGCTATCCAAAGAATTGGTAACGGTAGACCACGGAACTGAGCTTCGCGATATTCCCTGTTAAATCGCCCGGCTGAAATGTAGATTTGCTGCAAAAATTCTCAGAGAAATGCTTTTTCAATGGTTGATATGTATGTATTGTTGTTGCTTTTTTCATTATTTTTATTACATCACAAAAAAATCATCTTCGACGATATATTTGCTTATACAAATCCTTTCATAAAACATAAAAAGTCTATCACAGTAAAGCTATGAAGATGACAACAATATCAGAACATGAAGACGGTCGACCTGTCTATTGAGCAGAATACGATGTTAATATACATACCGAAAGGACCAAATCCGAGTCGACCTTGTTCCCATTCCCAGCTAAAATGTTCATTGTAGTTGATTGTCTCGTTCAGTTGTTTTTCCGGTGTACCTGTAATTTGTTGCATGAACACTTATGACATATAAAAGTACATTATTATAAAAATCAGGCAAGAAAACATTGCTGTTGTCTCTTTTTTCTGTTTTCAGGTAATAATGACCGCCGCGGTACTTAGCCCTTCTTCGCCATGGCTGGAATTATCATTTCAACAGTCAATATTGATTTATTCGACATCCGGAAGTTTACCAACGTCGACTGTCAGACCCTTATCATTTGAATCCGACGTCGGTTCAAAACATACATTTAACTGGCCTGTGCATAAGCATAAACTCTTTAATTACGAACACCTGTGGGATGCAACTGACTTTCGGATATTTGAAACCGATGACGGTACAAAACAAAACACTTTTTCAGATGCCATAATTAACTTAACCCATGTGTAAATATAACACATATTGTTTTTTAAAAAAGTATTGATATAATGGTTGTTATCATTACATTGTTAAACATGGTTTCAAGCAAACTTACATTAAATATCTGACTACCTTCTACTATTTATTAAAATAATATTTTTCTGATAAAGAACGTTTCTCTTTATATAGCTGTATGTTTTTTGTTTTTTATATATTTATTGGCATAATTTATCTGAGCAGGTCCGTTGTTCTATATTCCGAGGAATAGTCTGAGGAGGTTTCCTCCGTGCATGCCAACGGATGCTACGGTTCCTCTTAAAAAAGGGGTTTTACGTAGGCGGCCAGTATTCCTAAGACGAATATACATGTACGATCAAACCTGTTGAGTAATTGTTCTGGTTTGAATTGCCCTAGACATTCTATGGCAGTTTTGATCGTGATATGCTTGAAAAATGTATATATAAACACATGGCTGTATCACTCTTTTCAAAATTTAACTAATTTTATTGATAATATTTATAAAACATAATTTATAAGCTTCCGATATCAAGTGTTTATCATATCTGGCATTTGTGAGCACGTTGTCTCTTTTCCGAAACATAATTTTAATTGACTTTATCTGGATAAACATATTAAGCTTCCGATATCCGGAGCAATTTATAAAATTTCACTTCCGACTGTTCCGGATATGAGCTTTAGTCATATAATACTATAAATGATATACATGTAATTGTTAATATTACAAATTATTATTACAAATTGTCTGGAATATTTAATGCTCTTATTCAGCCATGGATAAGGCGAAAATTCAACATAAAATTACAGGTTTTTGCAATCGATGACGAAGCAAACCCTATTTTATAATATTCTATTTTATATAAAAAGTTTCAAACTCTATTAACTTTGTAACTTAATGACCAGTCATGACGGAAATTTTATGCCAACCATAAATAAAATAAGTTAAACATATATGTTGCATTTATTATCATTTGTTCCTTTAAAGTGACTATGTTGGAAAAATAATACATTACGGTATATACAGACATACGTTTTACAGGAATTTTCAAGTCCTCTCTTGTAAATAGTATAGTTTTAAAGATGTACAGTCCGTCTCAAAGCTTATTTTTGTATGAGGTTTATTATGTATGAATATTGTTTGCCATTGATGTCATGTGACCCATGTACATTTTTGTAATTGTATATACATGCATTGTAAATATGTTGCTTCATGGACCAGTCTCGTGTACCGGCTTTGTGAAAACAAGATACATGTATATTTATTATAAAATTTACCTATTACGTTTTATTACAAAATCGACATTTTGCCTCTTATTATAAAATCTACTTTGTATGTATTTTGATACAATCTACCTTTTAGTGTAATGTTTATTCCTCTGAGGCCCATATGCACACCAATCTCAGCCTCGATTTCATGTCCTGTTCCCGCCTTATACTTGGTCCTCGTATGAATTTGTGCTGTCTCCCAAGTGTATGTCCAGTTAGTTACTGTTAAAAAAACAACAAATGAAATGAAAATGTTTAAGACTATGGATATTAGAATCTGTGGGGCTTGTGGTGGTTGAAAATTTCTGCTAATATGTACTGTAAAATGTACTCGTATTGTTAGTGTTCTATATATATTAATACTGTAAGTATATGGTAAGTTGTAGCGTTAATACGAAAACTATAATTCTGACTATGCCCCGGATAAATGAACAAATAGGAGCAAATAGGACCTGCATCAATTGGTGGCCCTAACAAGATATGATCACGACGACGACGTCGGTGATGATGATTATAATGTTGTTGTTGTTATTATTATTATTGTTGTTGTTGCTGCTGCTGCTGATGATGATGATGATGATGATGGTGATGATGATGATGATGATGATGATGATAGAAGTGGTAACCATCAAGCAACAAAATCAGTCTGATTTAATCTTCTGATTTCGTAACCTCAAATATACTTTAGGCAGTCAATGGTGACTAAAGATACATATCCGGGTGTATATATTTGATAAATATACATCATGTTTGAGTAAAAGGTGAAATATCTGTCAATTATTCACCTAATTTAACAAAGGATTGCCTCGCATTTTTATTGAGAAAAAAACTATGTGGTTTAGTAATGTTTAATTTACTTCCTCATTCATAACTTAAAACGTCACACCGATTTCACATTATTTGTAAGAAAGACCGGTTGAGACATTTCAACTTCTCTAATTTACGATATCAATTACATGAATTCACGATTTCAACTTCATGAATTCACCATTTCAGCTTCATGAAATTAAATTGACATCGTAAATTCATGAATACCGTTTGTTGAAGGTGTGAATTCTAGAAGTTAAAATTGTGAATTTACGAAGATGTAATCGAGAATTCATGAAGTTGAAATGTCCCCACCGGTCTTTCCTATATTTGAAACAGTTTGCTACTTACATATAATTACAGCTCCTATATATAAACTTAGAGTTACTCGGATGAAGGTAAATATTTTCTGAAATGAGACACATACAAATATAAATATACTGTGACGTTAATAAATGGTCTTAATATTGTTTATCAACGCCTTATCAACTAAAATATTAACATTATGAAATGGAGAAAAATAGAATCCCCCAAAGAAAGTCTGACTCGACAAAATTGAAAATGTTGCAGTCTCGGTTTGATTAAGCCTGTTCAGGGACGGAAGTTTAATTGCAAGGTACCGTCCACGCCCCCTAGCATTTTATGAATTATAATGTCCGAGTCTTATGTTTAAATATCCATTTTGAAAAGTTATATTTCTATATGAAGAAGTGTCAGACTAGAATAAGTGCAGGGATTGATCTGAATCTATAAAATATAGGGGTATTGGAGTCTGTTGCAATGACTGGAAACAAATATAGTAACATTTTACATGTAAGTGTACACATGCATACAAAAAGACCAGTATGGGCAGAACGAAACTAGTATTCATATTTAGAAGCTCTTAAGTTCAGTATGATAGTTAAACCTGAGTGACCGGAAGTAAAAAAAAACAACATTATTTGCAACTGATCATGCATGCAGTTCTTAATAGAATTCATCTTTAATATTTATACCATTCTTTAAAGTTACATTATTGTTTTTAATTCACAGACAGGAAGTTTGATCTCTGATGGGTGTGATCAAACATATCATGATTTAACCTAGTGATGTCACATGATTTCCGCGTTAGAACACATAACTTCCGTTATATACCGTTGTTGGTTATACACAGTGACATGAAATAAGTCGTCCGAATCATGGCGCAGCTTGTTATATAAAGTCATCATTTTACTGACTCTGATTAAAAATTTGAACATTATATCAAGATAAATAAGCAAATGTTTTTATGTTTGCGGAAAAAAATTGTGCGTAAAGAAATTTCCCTACTTTAGTTTTTACTTCCGCTTAAACGATATTTTCAGCATTTTTATCTCGGGTATTTTGTTCATGGTGATGTTATCTCGACATCTGACGATATTGGTGACTTAAAACCTTGCCTTTATCATGTTTTAAAGATACACAAAATAAAAATAGCGCACAACACGGGTAAATTTGGTCATGTAAATCTAGATAGAGCGGGCTTGTTAAAGACACACTACGACCTCCAACCTCTAGCTTCGGTTAAATAAAGTTATAAAAATCAGCGTATTTGCATTATGATTTATATTGTTGGTGGTAATGTTGGTGGTTTACCCTCCAGAGCACGACAATTAGCCACTTTAAATTCACTAGAGCATAGTTCAGCCACCGCATCGTTCATGGGCGGGCTGTCAAACAATTTACCAGTACTAGTTGCCTTAAAACTGATGAATCTGAACATGCAGAGGTACAGTTCGAATGACCGTAGAAAAGATTCTATGATCAATCACAACGAAAGTGATCTGCACAGCCGGTATATCGATTCACAGTCCAACGCTCTAACTTTTGAGCTATCTGTACGGTTCTTTGTTTATAATGATCAGGTCAGGTAGTATGACCTTGCAATGACAGGTACATATTATATATTAATCCCTACTTTGCTTCTGAAACCGAATATGCGTTTACTGATAAGCCTTTGCCACCAGTATCTGTGCAGTCTGACCATACTCTATACTATTGGCTGGCCAATTTCATAATTTCATCTTTATATCACCAAAATTAATAGTGAAAGGTTCAGGAATGGAAACTGGAAACGTCAATTCAAGAAGTTCTTCAGGTAAATAGTTTTTGAACTTTGCTTTTAAAGACATAGTATGCCTCTGAAACGAATAAATAGTCCCTTTTATAGAAATGGTAAACGTGAGTTAAAAACGTTTAAATAATGATGAAACAGCAAGTTACATGCTTATCACTTGAATAAAGTGACGTTTTATGTGAACTTATTTGTCAAAAACGTAGCAAAATGCAAACAAAGTATCATTTTGACTTTGATACAAAGTACTAAATTATTATAAGCAAAAGATGGTTCAGGCTGGTATATTTAATAGGGAATTGTCCTACGAGTAACTGTTTGGAAATTAAAACAGGACATCAAATTAAACGCTTTTGAGAAATGAAAATAGAAGCATTTCAATTCTTCTGGAATAAAGGGCCACGTGCAACGAGATAAGCGCATGTACAATGATTTGCAAACATGTATATGTAGATGATTATCATATAGTCATTTATTGTCTTATAGGAAGATAAAACTCTTAACCAAAATATTTTTCTCTGTCTGAGATTCAGATGTTTTCAATTTTAAAGAAAATCAAAAGATTTTAACCTATAGCCCACATTTCTTACAATAAAAATAAAACCGTATGTGAGAAGTTAGCAGTGAACAGTGAGCTAAGCAAAAAGGCATTTCAATTTATATAGGGAAGGTAATGATCTGCTGTAATGCTCAGCTGTTTTGGGCATCTAGCAGGGCATTCCTAAATATAGTGTAAAAATGCTCTGCTGGAACGCTCAGCTGGCTAGGCAATCTAGCAGTGCATTACTAAATATAGTGTTAAAATGCTCTGCTGGAATGCTCAGCTGGCTAGCTAAGCTGGCTAGGCAATCTAGCAGAACATTACTAAATATAGTGTACAAATGTTATTCTGGAATGCTAAACTGGCTAGGCAATCTAGCAGGACATTACTAAATATAGTGTAAAAATGTTCTGCTGGAATGCTAAGCTGGCTAGGCAATCTAGCAGGACATTACTAAATAAAGTGTAAAAATGTTCTGCTGGAATGCTAAGCTGGCTAGGCAATCTAGCAGGGCATTACTAAATATAGTGAGAAAATGCTCTGCTGGAATGCTAAGCTGGCTAGGCAATCTAGCAGGGCATTCCTAAATATAGTGAAAAAATGCTCTGCTGGAATGCTAAGCTGGCTAGGCAATCTAGCAGAGCATTACTAAATATAGTGTAAAAATGCTCTGCTGGAATGCTAAGCTGGGTAGGCAATCTAGCAGGACATTACTAAATACAGTGTAAAAATGCTCTGCTGGAATGCTAAGCTGGCTAGGCAATCTAGCAGGGCATTACTAAATATAGTGTAAAAATGCTCTGCTGGAATGCTAAGCTGGCTAGGCAATCTAGCAGGGCATTCCTAAATATAGTGTAAAAATGCTCTGGTGGAATGCTAAGCTGCTAGGCAATCTAGCAGAGCATTACGAAATATAGTGTAAAAATGCTCTGCTGGAATGCTAAGCTTGCTAGGCAATGTAGCAGGGCATTACTAAATAAAGTGTTAAAATGCTCTGCAGGAATGCTCAGCTGGCTAGGCACTATAGCAGAGCATTCCTTAATATAGTGAAAAAATGCTCTGGTGGAATGCTCAGCTGGCTAGGCAATCTAGCAGAGCATTACTAGATATAGTGTAAAAATGCTCTGCTGGAATGCTCAGCTGGCTAGGCACTATAGCAGAGCATTCCGTAATATAGTGAAAAAAATGCTCTGGTGGAATGCACAGCTGGCTAGGCAATCTAGCAGGGCATTACTAAATATGGTGCAAAAATGCTCTGGTGGAATGCTAAGCTGGCTAGGCAATCTAGCAGGGCATTCTGAAATATAGTTAAAAAATGCTCTGGTGGAATGCTCAGTTGGCAGACTGATTCTGAGTTCCAGGATTTATTGTTGCCAAAGTTTTATTGACATTTTCAACTTATAGGCAATTCTGAGGCACTCGCAGACTTTCAGGAATTTTCGGTGCCAATAGAAATAATGATATTTTTGACTTCTAAGGACCTTTAAGAGACTATTTCATTGTCCTGCGACTTTTTGAAGGACACTCGCAGACTTTAAGGAATTTTGGTGCCAATGCTGACATTGACAATTAAGACTTCTAGGAACCCTCAAGAGTCCATTTTGGTCGTCTGCGACTGATTCTTGGACACTCGCAGACTTTCAGGAATGTTTGGTGCCAATGGAAATAATCATATTTTTTACTTCTAGGGATCTTTAAGAGTCCATTTCATTGGCCTGCAGCGTATTGTTGGACACTCGCAGACTTTCAGGAAAGTTTGGTGCCAATAAAGATGATGGCAATTTTTATTTCTAGGGACCCGCCAGAGTCTATTTTTATGGTCTGCGACTGATTCTTGGACATTCGCTGACTTTCAGGAATCTCTGGTGCCAATGGAGATAATGACATTTTTGACTTCTAGCGACCCACCAGAGTTCATTTCGTTGGTCTGCGACTGATTTTGGGACACTTGCAGACTTTCAGGAATCTCTGGTGCCAATGGAGATAATGACATTTTTGACTTCTAGCGACCCACCAGAGTTCATTTTGCTGGTCTGCGACTGATTTTGGGACACTTGCAGACTTTCAGGAATTTTGATGCCAATGGAGATAATGACATTTCAGACTTTTAGGGAACCGCCAGAGTACATTTCTTGGGTCTGCGACTGATTCCTTGAGACTCGCAGACTTTCAGGATGTTTAGTGCCATTGCAGATCATGACTTTTTTACTTTTAAGGACCCCTTAGTCATAAGCAGAGCATTTTTACCCTAAAATGTCATTATCTGCATAAGCACCAAAAATTCCTGAAAGTCTGCAAGTGCCCAATAATCAGTCGCAGACCAACGAAATAGGCTCTGGATGGTCAAAAATGTCATAAATTGTAATTATCTCTTTTGGCGCCAACAATTCCTGAAAGTCTGTGACTGTACAAGATTAAGTCGCAGACCAAAAAAATGGACCCTGGATGGTCTCTAGAAGTAAAAAATGTCATTATCTGCCTTGATATAAAAAATCCTGAAAGTCTGTGAGTGTCTCAGAAACAGTCGCAGACCATTAAAATGGATTCAGAAAGGTCCCAATAAGTCAGAAATATCATTCTCTGCATTGTCACCAAAATTCCTGAAAGTCTGCGAGTGACTCAGAATCAGTCGCAGACCAACGAAATAGACTCAGGAGGGTTCTTTTGATGTAAAAATGTCATTATCTCCATTGGCACCGAAAATTTCTGAAAGTCTGCGAGTGTTCCAAAAACATTCGCAGACCAACGAAATGGACTCTGGATGGTCCTAAAAATTCACAAATGTCATTATCTTCATTAACACCAAAAATTCCTGAAAGTCTGCGATCGTCCCAGAATCAGTCGGAGACCAAAGAAATAGACACTTGATGGTCCCGTAGAAGTCAAAAATGTCATTATCTGCATTGGCACTAAATATTTCAGAAAGTCTACGAGTGCCAAATAATCAGTTGCAGACCAACGAAATTTATACTTTATTTAAGAATGCCCTGCTAGTTTGCCTAGACAGCTCAGCATTCCGGCAGAACATTTTTACACTAATTTTCTGAGTGCTTTGCTGGATTGCCTAGCCAGCTGAGCATTTTTAATACTATATTTAGGAATGCCCTGCTAGATTGCTTAGCTAGCTGAGCATACCAGCAGAGCATTTTTCGCACTATATTTTGGAACGCTCTGCTAGATTGCTTAGCCAGCTGAGCTTGCCAACAGAGCATTTTTACACTATATTTAGAAATGCTCTGCTGGATTGCCTAGCCAGCTGAGCATTTTTAACACTATATTTAGGAATGCCCTGCTAGATTGCCTAGCCAGCTGAGCAATTCAGCAGAGCATTTTTACACTATATTTTGGAATGTCCCGCTAGATTGCTTAGCCAGCTGAGCATAACAGCTAAGCATTTTTACACTATATTTAGGAATGCCCTGCTAGATTGCCTAGCCAGCTGAGCATACCAGCAGATCATGTTTACACTATATTTTGGAATGCCCCGCTAGATTGCCTAGCCAGCTGAGCATAACAGCAGAGCATTTTTACACTATATTTTGGAATGCCCCGCTAGATTGCTTAGCCAGCTGAGCATAACAGCAGAGCATTTTTACACTATATTTTGGAATGCCCCGCTAGATTGCTTAGCCAGCTGAGCATAACAGCAGAGCTTTTTTACACTATATTTTGGAATGCCCCGCTAGATTGCTTAGCCAGCTGAGTATAACAGCAGAGTATTTTTAACACTATATTTAGGAATGCCCTGCTAGATTGCCTAGCCAGCTGAGCATACCAGCAGAGCATTTTTACACTTTATTTAGTAATGGCCTGCTAGATTGCTTACCCAGCTGAGCATACGAGCAAAGCATTTCTACACTTTATTTTGGAATGCTCTGCTAGATTGCTTACCCAGCTGAGCATAACAGCAGATCATTGATTTCCCTATATAAATCGTAATGCCTTTTTGCTTAGCTCACTGTTAACTGCTAACTTCTCACATACAATAAAACCTATCGATATATAAAGTACATTTGGAATATCACTTGGCTTTACTGGTTATGGTGTTCGTTAATGGCAAGGGTACGTTTTAATGTCTGCTGTGTCCTGCAGGTTCTGTGTTCTAAAAGAAACTTACAAAAATACAGTTTGCCTAAAATGTGCATTTTCATACTAAAATACTTCAATAAATTTGTTCAGAAAATATTAAAAATCTTCATTCGACCACCATTTAAACGTTCAAAGATTTTCCTACATGTCGGTGTACATTCTAGAGTGGCACACTTATAAATGTTCCCAAAGTGTACTTGCTACTATTTGCTACAATATACACGATGTAAATAAATTTATAATAGTAGTATTACATTGTTTTATCAACTCAATTATGAAAAGTATTATTAAATCGTTTTATCAAATCAATTATGTTTTAATTCACCTATAGCCCACATTTCTTACAATAAAAATAAAACCTATCGATATATAAAGTACATTTGGAATATCACTTAACCGATGACCCGGAAAACAAGATATATCTTTAACATAAAAAACCAAAGCAGATGGGCTTAACCACAATAAAAAAAGAAACGAACATCGTATTTTTCCCTATACATTTATTTTGTAAACTTTGCACTTAAAAAACGAGAATCTGACACTTGAATCTTAACACAAGAGGAAAGAAAGTCAGTTATCTACATGACTCAAGTCATATCTAAAGATGTGCTGTTAAGGAAATACAGTAGTTTCTTACCTCCTTCCCCCTAATTCCTGGTAAGATGACAAAAAACGAAACAGCCAAAATAACAAATGCAAATATAAGCCCGGATTCGAGAATATCCGCTTGCCACGCAGTCGGGTTGGCATCATACCAGGTTGGAGCCCCGTTTTCACGGAATGCCTGGTACGCCATCTCTACAAGCTGGTTGAAAAATGTAACCTAGCTTTTATCTGAAGGTGGAAAGAGAAAATATGATAATATCAGTTATTGCTGTTATTGCTGATTCTTTATCATTGCGTTTCAATAACATAGTTAAAATGTTTTAACTTCAAACAAATACTGGTATTTGAGGTACTTCGCGATATTGTAGGTATATTATTCGTGCAATGCTGTGCCTTAACATTAACTGGTCTATCCTTTTATGTAAATAAAGTAATTATATATTGTCAGTAATTATAAAATGGCAAAAAAGAGATTCGTCGGTAGAACTCAGGATGGTAAATGTGTACTGAAAATCAATTTTAAATATTAACATAGAAAGTGAACAGCCTTTGTCACGGGTATACAGCAAGGTCCTCCTGTAAATCCTGGCCACCTAGCTCTATACCTTTGAGAGCTTAGTTTTGTATTTTGATACTAAAATCTATGTAACTTTAAAGACAGGGTTAAAAGTAAGGCGGCTATAAAGCGCCTTAAAAAGTCGATTGAAACACTATCTAATAATGTGCATATCGCATCGTTATTCTATAAAGAAACCAGAAAATTTAAACATAGAAACAATATAGAATTCTACAAAATTATGTCACGCTGAAAATTTTAATTTTAAATTTTTAAATGAAACGTAAAATTTCTCCTAAACATTTAGGGGGAGAATTTAGGTATTTTAATTTGAGAATGGGGTATGTAATTTTGGGGAAAAAAAAAAGGGTTTCAAAATTTTTTCAGCAAACCCCAAAAACCCCTTGGTCCCAAATTTGGGGCCCCCGTACTTAAAATAAAATATGAAGTCATTTTTTAATGTGGGGGCATTATTTTTTAAATTTTTATTTAAAAATTTACTTTTTAAAATTTTTTAAAAATTTTCAAAATTGATGTAATAAGACTGAAAAATTTGGGGAAAATTTAAAATTCATAAAATGAGTATTTAATTTTTTAGATCCCGATTTTAGGACATCGGATTGGGGATAGATAAAAATTTTCCTTTGTGCTTCAAGGGGATAATTTTAGTATATGTGGTGCCCAAAATTTGGTTTTTTTTCCCTACCCAAAATATAAGGGGTTTCCAAATTTTTAATAAAACTTTTTGGGGAAAGGGGAGTTTCCCCTTTTTAAAAATCTTTATTTTTTTCCCTTTTTTTAACAAACAAGGGGTGGAGAAAGGGCGTATACAAATAAAAAAAATTAAAATTTTTTCAAAATAAAATTTTTTGTACATTGTATTAAGAGGGAACCCCCCTTTTTTTTTTTTCCCGCGACCCCGTTTTTGCTTTTTTTCCTTTTTTTTATTCTTTTTTTTTTTAAAAAAAAGAAAAAAATTGGGGCTTAAATTTTGTTTTGGGGTTTTTTTGTTTATGTATTTGAATTTAAAAGATTTGGAGAATTATTTTTTTAAAATTTTGTTAAAAATCGTTTAAAAAATCAGTTTCGATTTACCCTTTAAATTTTTGATCCTCTTATTAAGATGAATCAAAATTCCATTCCTAGAAAAGGGAACTGTCCTTACTCGTTTTTAAAATAATCATTCCCTTGAATATTGGGAACTTATCCCAAAATATCCATTTCTATACCCAACCCGGGTTTGTTAAGTTTCATTAATTCAAAAGTTCATAATGGTTTAAAAGTACGTTTTAATTTTAAAACATAAACGTAAAGGCATAGGTTTTTTGTTTTGAAATTTTTTGTTTAAAGCGACACTTTTTAAATAACCCTTTTAAATATGTGGGAAATTAAACGAAAATTTCGATAAAAAAATTGATTTAAAAACCCCAATGCATACCCACTTTTATCATTTATTTATAATATAAGAAATGCATTATACAAATATGTTTTCTATATGATTTGTTTCGTTTTGCAAAGAAGGAAAAAGAAAAGAGCAATGACTTGAAGGTCATTGATCAAATGTTAAGAATTGATTTATATTAAACCTTTATATTAAAACCATCTTATAAAGCGAATACAATGAAAATATGCAATGGACGAGTCGTAAATTTTATTCAGATAGTGACTGACTTTAACAAAATAATTGATTGAATAAAGTTCAAAGCATTTAAGGAAGTTTCAACACCTAAATAAAAGAAAAGCATATACGAAACGCATAAAAGTTATCCTCAGTTTAAACAAAATTAATGTTAACAAAATGCATACATACTTTACTTTAAGTCAAATATATCCTTTCTGTTTCACTAAATTGTAATACAATTGAAGTCAAGCCCAGCTGTATCGCAGTTTAAGATAGTGTTTACATGGTTTATAATAAATTTTTCAACTTCCTGAATCCCTCAATCGTGACACAGAGTGTTTAGTCGTCCAGATAATTTGTTAAGTGGATATCTCATTCTTTACTACATTGTTCACTGTATAGTCAAATATGAATTGATTAAATGCTTTACGAAAAACAATATGCGGAAAAAATATACAAGTAAATTTACTTTTTTGAAATCAAATTTTTTTGTTTCTAAAGTATTTTAATTGGATGAGAAAAGGAAAAAACTCATTTCAAACTTGTCTTTATTAAAAAATTTTCCCCAAAGACTGCCTGGTTTTTTAGTATATCATGGCAAGTTCTTTACTGTTATAAACTGTAATTCAAATTTTTTTTACTTCAATTTATTGTGTTTTTTGGATGTTTCCTGGAAAAACTAATGGTCTAAACATTTCCCACTTTTAAAAAGCCCAGTGCATATGGCCGTTTCTTTACTGTCATTGCTTTTTATTACTTTTTTTTCTGCCTAATGCATTAAAGTTTTACAGTCAGGGGCCCTTAAAATGTCAAATGTTGATGTCTAAAGTTTTTTTATCTTTCGTTTGCCCGACTAAAAGCATATTGTTTGCCTAATGCTTATTTTACTGTTTTCTGTCTTGTGTCGTGTTAAACACAATACTCCTAAAAACTTCCGTTAAGGTTAAAGAATAATTTCGTTTTTAGCAGCTGTATGCGCTAATTCATTTCTCTAAAGAATGTATTGGTTCGTTTTGGTGTCGGTCACTGACATATTTGCGTAATTTTGGTAGACTATTACACAAGTCTTGCGTTATTTTCATATTCCTGTGTTACCATGGTTACCGGATTTATAGTATAACCTACTGAGACAAGAATTTAAAAAAAAGAATTAGACTTAATTCACACAAAAATCACATTGACCTACCTTTATGGTAAAATATCGGTGGAGGCTTTCAGGACATCGCCAGAGGCATTGCCCGTCTTTGACGTTTGCACAATGTTTTGCGCAACCAAAGCAATCGCAATCTTTCGGCCCTTTCTGTCAGTTTTCGGACACTTAGTATGAATACATAGAACGGACACTGTATCTAATATAGGCTACAAAACCTACACACGTTAACAAAATGAAACAGTTAGTAAATGCTGAAAGATTAGGACTAAGTTTATTACATTTTATCGAGTGGAAGTCCACCTAATTTAATTAGAATTCAATACTGTAGATTCTACATAAGTTATATTTGGTTGTTTTAGTTGGTTAATTATCTCTTAGTAACTCGTGGCCAGGTCCACGAATGGTATCCCGTGCACAACACTTAATAAATTCATGCGAACGACTAAGTGACTTGTGACCACGACATAGAATCTCGTATACACGCACGACTTAGTAACTCGTAACACAACCTAGTATCTCGTGCACACTTAGATTTACTTATCTCGCGTGCACGACTTAGTAACTTATGACCACGACTTATATAGTATCTCGTGCGCACCACTTAGTAACTCTTGGCCACGACATGTTCAGTATCTCGTGCGCACGACTTAATTATCTTGTGCCATAAAAACGCACAAATGTCACCTCTGTGCCTACTTATGTGGGTCAAGACATAGAATCAGTTAATTTACAATATTTCATAAGTCAGGTTAGGTTTGGTTGAATATGTTCAAAGGAAATTTCATTCAATAAATCTAATATTTGTGAAAAGCTTTGTTTGTTCGCGACTCGTCAAATATTTTCGCGCTGACTGAAACTTTCACAGTTTGTCCGAAGTGATCTCCCTTAAATGACGTCACATGGTTTCAGCAAATTGTTTCAAGATGGCGAACTATGCGGAGTCCGGTGGATTTTGGAGTGCACCAAAAGTGCAATACAGTCAACAGACTCATAGTTTGTTGAAAGGTAATGTAACAAATAACGATATATAGTAATTATATATCTTGATATATTTTTTTAAATATTGGATTTACGATTTTGAGAGAGATATATGCTTTGTTTACATGGAATCGTGTATTCGTACTCAAACATTTTCGATACAAAATATTATTTTATCAGTAGATTCTATCTTATGTTGCTTTGAGGTTTGTTTCATATGCATAAGCATTTTATGTAAAACACTTATTTATCGATCAAAGATTAGACATAAGACACATTTTTATTTGTCTTTTTTTATCTTTCTAATTTCTTGCATTTCTTCCATTTATAATCTTATCCATAAACCCTTACCCTAGAAATAATCTAATTTTGTAGGGAATCATAAATATTTGAGAAATAATATCAGGTAAAGTCATAATTTTACAAATAGCTTTGGACACGTCACAGATTCTTAAGTCTAGCTAATGAAAGTTTAAAATAGATAAATCATAAAAAAAGCGGGGGGATGGGGGGTGGTTTGATATGGGTGACTCTCGTTCTATCTGACCTACACTCTGATCAAAGAGCCAGATAAAGATAGAGAGGAAACTATGATGTTATTCACTTAAAATCTGTTTCAGGCAAGTTCACAATTTGCAAGAATTTCTGTGACCATGTTTGTCACTGTCATGTTGTCTGAAATTTGTAATGGTAGAATCAAAAAAGCAGTTGCAAAAATGTGAAAAAGAAACAAAGATTAAGAAGATATGAATTATTCTAAGTAATAGATGAAATAAAATGTAAAGACATTTGGTTACGTAAAACAAGATAGTGGAAATTGATCACTTCACGAGGCAATGAATCTTGGGATTGTGGATCAGGATTAAAAAAAAAATCTATTTTTAGAGCTTTTTATTCCTATATAATGTAAGACCTGATTGAACATGGGCGGAGACAAGATGACATAAGTGGGCCCAGCATAAGTAGTCCTGGGAAAAGAACGAGTATTTGTAGTAGTTGATAATTGTTTCAAAGCCTGGGAATGGCAAGCTTGACTGTTTAAAGTGGAATGGCAACCTTACTTTGCAAGATATTTTGATACATAATAAGGGGTTGATATATGTGGCTTTGCTCTTGGCTCCTATAATCTAGAAAATCAAGCTTGTCCTTTTGTGACACCAAGATACATTGCTAATGAACCTGATTCTAGTATGGTATTTTGCAAGGTATTTTGTGTTGGTACTTGAGTCTTTCATTTTATAATTAGGATGATTTGACATTTTGAAGGATTGAATTTTTTGTCCCATTTTGAATATGACCTTTCATATATACTGGTGCTACATATACCATTTGTTCATAAATCTTGCAATGCAATTTTTTATTAATTTGCAGTGACTTTTAGAATATGAATATATATATAGGATGTGCATATAGTTAAAAATGGGGAATATTGGTCTATTGACTGTATCAAAACAACCAGTCTTATAAGGTTTGGTCTAAAGTCTTACTGGGATTAAGATTATTCTCGGAGATGATCATGTTTTAATCAAGTTATATTTTATTTCAGAGATGATGCAGGAATCCAAACTTACAAATTTTCAACAGAGACATCTAGAAAAACAGTTAAGAGGTAAGAATTTATTACCATCAGTTTCTAATTTATACATTTTAAATGGCAATAATGCCTGCACTACTACTAGTTCAGACTCTTTCATCATATGAAATTAGATGGCTGCATAATTATGAGAATGAAAAAAAATAATCTTTAAATTAATTACATTTAGTGAACCTGTATTATATTGTGCAAGATTACTACATATTAAAGTTATTTTATATTAATTGTATGTAATGCTGTAAGTTTCAGTGATCTGTTACATTAATTACATATGAATGGGACTTTGTCAAAATATTCCATTCCATATACATGTAATAAGATAATTCATGCCTTTAAGAGGAACTACTCTAAGAGCTGACAAAGGAAAACAAATTAATGATATTGAAAATTTAAGCACATGTGTTATTATTTTAGGTGGGGGAACTTTACCAACCCAGTGCAATCCAACATCTAGTGCCAAGAAAAAGCAAGCCCCAGCACCTAAGAAACCTCCAAAATACCTTACACCAAAGTAAGTTAACAGTTCTACTCTTTGCTTTCCATTGACTTAATATTTATGTTCAGGTTGCGGTTAACCATTTCTAGTAATTTCTAGATGAAATTTATAGGAGTAGTAGATAGTGGCCATGATAAGTGGATATAACACTAAGTATTATGTGTGTCCACTGTGATTGATAACAAATAACTTTGTAAACTGAAACAATGAAGAATTATTGGAGTCAATATGAACTCTTAAGTCTGCACAGCATTTAGTCTTAAGGTAATCTTACCTTATAATTACTTACTTCATTTGCACGTTTGCCAGGCCCAATATTTTAATCACTGCAAGTACTCATGTACTTGAATGTTATTATTTTTCTAAAAGAACTTGTTGAAATAACAAAACACTTATTTCTTACCTTTGTTTCTTCATATAATTCTTTCCATTATAGTGCACATTATTACATTGAAAACTGCTTCATTTTGCATTCCAACTAGAACAAAACTTTCTAGTTTCAGTATGGTATTTTTTGAAAACATGTTACTAGGCATTGCCATGTTTTCTTGTTAAATTTGAAATAGATGAAGATTGTTTTCTATATTCTATTTTAAACAGGAATTATCAAAGTAAGATGAGATCAAAGGAAACCATTGAAGCATCAGGAGCTTATGAGAGGCCAGAATATGAACCAACTCCTTCACATTGTAAATATCTCTTTTATTAAGTTTTCAATTAAAAATCATAAAAAGGGTCATCTTCAGCCAAGTTGTTAACATTGCTTACTTCAAATCACTATTCACTTGCCTACTGCTGTAGGTTCAGACCCCAGACATATATTTTTTAATATTAGAAAGCAATATATTTAATAGAAGTATGTATATGTATCATGGTACTTAACAAAATTTGTCCTAATCTAAGAGCTTAATTTAATTAAGTTCAATATCGAAAAACTTTCTAGTCCAACCAATTAGACTTGTTAGAAGACAAATGAAGTCATTTTAGACGAAGGGTGTCATTTTCCAAGTTAACAGTTTGACTGTAGGAAAAACGCAGCCTGTAAAAAGCATCAAACCATTCACACCAAATAAATAAGGCTAAAAACTTTCATAACGAATTGTGATAAAGAACAATTCTAATGGTTTCTTGAATGTTTTTCAGAACTTTTTGATATTTCAAACCATATAAAACAAAACAGTGTTTAAAAACCTGTGACTGTGAAGTCCTGTAACTTTATAGAATGAAATACATGTAGATAATAACTTCCATTTTCAGGGTTTAAAAATTCTGCAAAGGAGAAAGAGAAACTTGCAAATATGATGGCGTTTGGTAAGGATATTGACCCGGCAGCTGAAAGGTTAAAACGTAGGTCACAACCTGTAGAATACGAGGAGGAGCCTGTCCCAGACAGATTTGATGAGTGTAAGAATTTAGTTTTTATAAAGCTAGGAAGAGGCATTTTATTATTATGTTACTGAATTGTCTCCCTTCTTTATTATCATATTTAATGCTTGTTCTTTTCACAGATGAGAAAGTGAAGACTTACAATTACAAAGTCGAGGCTCAAAGAAAAAAAAATATAACAGGAACTCTTAAAAACTGTGTGGACATTTATCACATCAAAGTATCTTTAAAATGATGTATTGCAGGTGTTTTTCTCACAAAATTAACTGGAAAATATGATTAGTTTATACCAATTCATTTAAGTTCAATTATGTTGGAAGCTATAAGCTTATTGTAATACTCTGGAATCTGTTTTTGGAACCAACCAGTATTAAGCAATGAGTGTATCATAACAACTGCTTGTCCCTGACGGGATTTGAACCTACATGGTCAGCAACCTTTACATTACTAGAAAATATGATTTCAAACACAGGTTTTCTATTACAAATATATTCTTAGACAATTGCTCAAATTATAACTGTTTATATTCCTAATTAAGTTAACCCTTACATTGCTAAATATCTTAAATTGGCTTGTCCATCTTTTAATCTGGAGACAACTGAGTTTGGTTTATAATGTTTGCATGGGTAGATTCTGTAATTGCCAGTAAGCTAGTGTTAAGGATAAGTAAGGCAGCAAGTTTAGTTGATTTTAAAGATGTGATTTAAATATCTGAATTTTTGCTTTTGTCTTGAATAGTATTTTAGTAAAATTATAAAATATTGTTTAAAAAGTATCAAACTGACCCTAACCTCCTGATTTTGTGTAATCGACTTGCCCTGCTTTGAATTAGGAACAATCCATTTACCTGGTAAGAAACTTCACTATCAAGATACAAAAATTTAGCTGCTAACAATAAAGAGTCGTGTCAGGTGGCATGGATTTGCCTGCTGGCCTGGCTTTACACTGGTGGCAAAGGCTTATCATTTTTGTTTCCAGCAGGTTAAGGAGGATACTGTTTCTTATATGTGACTTGTCTATTTCAGTGCAACAAGAGATAGATGAACGAAGAGAATTTTTAAGTCAAATGGAAGCTGTCGGACAGGGAGAAAAACACAGACCACTCATTGAAACTCAAATATCTCAGGTACAAACAAAAATAATTCATCAAGATTTGTTTATCATTGGCAGTATATTTCTTATCACAGGGCAATGCTCATATGTACATGTACAAAGTCAAATATATAAACTAAAATACATGTCTTTATATGACCTAATATTGCAGCATTAATGTGATCACATTTTATATTGGTCTAGCCAATTTATTGCTGATTTTCAAGAAATATCCAGATAATTTGATACAGAATTACTATGCCAGAGGTACAATTATCTAATAAATTATAAATAAAAACCAATATCCTGAATTATAAATAACAACTATATTGTAAACAATTACAAACGTTCATTCCATTTATTTGAGAAATTTTAAGATTTTTTTTACAAACATTTTTTGCAGCTCATAAGAGAAATGGAATTAATAGACAAGAAAAGATCAAAAGAATTGGAAGAACTTATAGCAAGAGAGGATGCCAAGAAAAAGAACAAATAACTGACAATCTCCAGACAGCTTAGATCATTATTAGATGAAACATATCCATATGGTTCACATAGTGACAATATCCATCTATATTCTTGTTTTGAAAATGAGAAATTTAAATGTAAAAAAGGATGAAAAAAATATAGATATTTTTTTTGAACTTTTGATAAGGAAGCTGTGCTTTTTATGCATAGTATTGTTAATGTACAACATCTGTACTGTTTAGATTTGCAGTCTCAGAACTAAAGTTTAAAATTGTTTTAGAAAGTTTTACTCAGCATTGTAAACTTGACATTGTTTCTACAAAATAATTTCATGGATGAAATAGAACTCTTCCGTACTTCAGTAAATCAAAAAGAAAGGTGTTATGTTATTGCAGTGAAATTCTGATACTTTATTATTTAGTCCCTGTTGATAAAGGAAATGTTTTTTGGAAATGTTTTATGTATTGTGTTTTTAAACACTTGTTAATCACATTATGACACTTGTTTAACACTTTTCATTGTAATATAATCATTATGTAGATCTTTATTTCACACATGTTTTCCTCGGCCAGGAAAGCTGGAACATCGCGATATGACCTATACTGTGTCGATGTGACGTTAAACCCAAAACAAACAAACAAAAACATGTTTTATATATTATTAGGAATTACTCTTTGATAGTTAGCCTGCTAGAGAAATCAGTATCTGCCCATTGAAGACTAAGATCACCCAGCACATCTGTGCCACCTGATTATGGTCTACAGCTTTTACTTTTTAGTCAGTACATATTTTGAAAATTTCCTTAAAAGTGACGGATGATTTTGTCTAGATTGAAAGAGAGAAAAGTCCATTTATGATATTTATCATGGTAAGGGTTAAACATTGATGTTGGACTGTTTTGGAGTTTCAATACATGTCTTATTATATATCATGTGATAAAAAGGTTCTTACACATATACACTAACATACACATATACACTAACATACACATATACACTAACATACACATATACACTAACATACACATATACACTAACATACACATATACACTAGCATACACATATACACTAACATACACATATACACTAACATACACATATACACTAACATACACATATACACTAACATACACATATACACTAACATACACATATACACTAACATACACATATACACTAGCATACACATATACACTAACATACACATATACACTAACATACACATATACACTAACATACACATATACACTAACATACACATATACACTAACATACACATATACACTAACATACACATATACACTAACATACACATATACACTAACATTTAACTTGTCCTTGAAAAGCTATAATGCCCATATAAAACTCAAAGACTTCTTAAATATACACCTACATATATCAAATGGCAATTCATGTTAGGATCCCATATTATATACAATATTTGTATTATTTCTGCTTGCCAATCTTTCTTTCTATGTTTAAACATGTTGCAATGTTAAGAAACCTTTTTCTCAGAAGTCTTTCATCGTAATATATTTCCTTGGTTTTAACTAACATTATTTTCAACTTGTCATACTTAACCACTGCTTCTAAAGGAACTGAACTTGTAAAGGAAAGTTTTTGACAAAAATCAATAAAAAGATATGTTCAGACCACAGCACATGTAGTTTATAAATATATTTTATGACAAGGAAATCATATCTGGAAATACCTTTCAGATTATAGAAAATACATGTATTCAGGTTGTAAAGTTCAGGTTTTGGAATTTCTTTCAAATGTTACTATTTTATTACTTAAACTTAAATAGTTAAGAATTCTAGTTGTTTTAAGTCGTATATTGTTTAAGGAAAAAAAACAACTGTCTACTAGTTTGCCAAGGTGTTTTTAATTCATGTTTTTAATTAAACCACATGTGTATTTTGTGTTCATACATATATATTACATAAGCATTCCATACAGAGGTGGTAGTCACAGTCATTTTGTAAACATGAGTTTATTTCATCCTATATGTTGTTGTAGTGTTATCATGGACTCTGCAAATTAAGTTGTAACTTACCCTTTAATCCTTTTAAATTGTTATAGGTAATACTGACTTATTTATGTCACCAGTCTATAAACATGCTAGTCTGTTTATATGTAAACATGCTAGTCTGTTTATATGTGTATTCTGACCAGATTCTCTTCTGTCGACTGCTTTATTTTTAGCTCGACTATTCGATAAGAATAAGTAGAGCTATTGTAGTCACCCGAGCGTCGGCGTAACCACTTATGTTAAAGTTTTTGTAATAGTTTAAATATTTTCAAAGTCCATTGACATATGGCTTTGAAACTTTGCACACTTGTTCACCATCATGACCCCAACCTGTAGACAGGAGGAGGTAACTGTATCAAGCATTTTGACAGAATTATGCCCCTTTTTCGACTTAGAATTTACGTTAAAGTTTTTGTAATAGTTCAAATATTTTCAAAGTCCATTGACATATGGCTTTGAAACTTTGCACACTTGTTCACCATCATGACCCCAACCTGTAGACAGGAGGAGGTAACTGTATCAAGCATTTTGACAGAATTATGCCCCTTTTTCGACTTAGAATTTACGTTAAAGTTTTTGTAATAGTTCAAATATTTTCAAAGTCCATTGACATATGGCTTTGAAACTTTGCACACTTGTTCACCATCATGACCCCAACCTGTAGACAGGAGGAGGTAACTGTATCAAGCATTTTGACAGAATTATGCCCCTTTTTCGACTTAGAATTTACGTTAAAGTTTTTGTAATAGTTCAAATATTTTCAAAGTCCATTGACATATGGCTTTGAAACTTTGCACACTTGTTCAACATCATGACCCCAACCTGTAAACAGGAGGAGGTAACTCTATCAAGCATTTTGACAGAATTATGCCCCTTTTTCGACTTAGAATTTACGTTAAAGTTTTTGTAATAGTTCAAATATTTTCAAAGTCCATAGACATATGGCTTTGAAACTTTGCACACTTGTTCACCATCATGACCCCAACCTGTAGACAGGAGGAGGTAACTCTATCAAGCATTTTGACAGAATTATGCCCCTTTTTCGACTTAGAATTTACGTTAAAGTTTTTGTAATAGTTCAAATATTTTCAAAGTCCATTGACATATGGCTTTGAAACTTTGCACACTTGTTCACCATCATGACCCCAACCTGGAAACAGGTGGAGGTAACTCTATCAAGCATTTTGACAGAATTATGCCCCTTTTTCGACTTAGAATTTACGTTAAAGTTTTTGTAATAGTTCAAATATTTTCAAAGTCCATTGACATATGGCTTTGAAACTTTGCACACTTGTTCACCATCATGACCCCAACCTGTAAACAGGAGGAGGTAACTCTATCAAGCATTTTGACAGTATTATGCCCCTTTTTCGACTTAAAATTATGTTAAAGTTTTTGTAATAGTTCAAATATTTTCAAAGTCCATTGACATATGGCTTTGAAACTTTGCACACTTGTTCACCATCATGACCCCAACCTGTAAACAGGAGGAGGTAACTCTATCAAGCATTTTTTTTACTATCAAGCAGTAAGAATAGCCGAGCGTTGCTGTCCTACAGACAGCTCTTGTTATCATTTTTTGTCCCCCTTGTGGCCGAGTGGTAGCCTTTCAGAATTGCAGCCACTGTTTATCCCTGAGGTGACTAAATGGAGTCAGTGCATCTATAAGCTCCAGCAGGTGAGGTGGTTTTGACCCTTGGTGTTACTTTAAGTTTGTAACACCCAATTTTAGCAAAAATCATCTTTCCAGTTTCAGCACCATATGACCTTAATTGTGTTACATCATTTAAATGTATACCGTGTATACTTAAAAACTTCAATGTCCGTCCTGGTTGTTTTTTTTATGTTTATTATCATTTTATCTTGTATTTTGTTCTTTCTCTTTGTTTATACATTTTGTATTTCAAAGGAAGTAAAATTATAGATTTCCATGTATGTCTATATGTTTTTAAAATAATTTATATACATACTGTATGTGTTACATATTTTTTCTATATATTAAATGTGATATTTTATTTGAAATAAATGACCAAAATTCATTTTGTTGTTAAAAAATTTCACCTCGTATCATCATTCAGCCAGCATTTTGTTGAAAGTTAGGATTCTTTTGAATTTAAGAAAGGCAGGAATACATTTTTCTACAAGATACATACATATATCATTATTTTTTTCAATTGATTACCATTTCGAGGGCCAGTACTACCTGAGAAAAGGCTGACTAAATACTTTTAAAAGTTTGATATGAAGAATTATAAGTAGGACTGATTCATTATAATAATTTGAGACTATAGAGGCATCTAATATTCTTTCTGATCAAATTAACCTGAATATAATTATTCAATATTGACGCACCATCCTTGTTTCTATTGATCCTTTTTCTTCCTAAACCTATTTGAAAGATTTTGCCTCCAGTTGTCATGGCAACTATGATTATTAAAGAAACTGTGATTGTGCTGCATGCAAAGAACATCCCAGACAATTTTCATCAATTTAGGCCAAAGGGTTTCACATGATGTATCATTTGAATCAAATGACCAATTATCCAAAAAGCTCAGGTGAGCTAAAAAGTTGCAACATTTGTCAGAATACCACGTATTGGCTAGAACATTTCTTTTCTTGTATCACATGGTAGCAAAACTATTTGTAACAGCTCTATTAAGGAATATGTTTCTGATATGACAGATATTTCAATGTAACGTGGCTCAATCTTCACCTCCAAAACAGAATTGTATCAGAGAAAAATACAAACACATGGAATGATAATAAAAACTTTTAATAACAATGAGATTGTGCACATTTCTAAAAATAACAAAATTAAAAATATTACTACAAGGATGATTTGTATTTAAATATTCTGCTATCACAGTAAAATTACTACATTACTACATCTATTTCGAGGGGTGTATGCAGAATAGTTGTAACTCATATAATCTAAAAGGGTTACAACCATTTTGCACAAAGCCCTTAATTTGTTCTCGTATTAAAATTTGATTGACAATTGCCAGCATTATTTATTTATTATCCAACATGTTTTTTATACTAGAATTTCCAAATACAGCCACAAGCTTAAAAACATCTGATATGGAATGTACAATTTTAAACAATCAGTTGGCTTAAAGTTGCATATGTACTGGCTAAAGATGGTTCTTAAATACATATAATTAAAAACTACATAATCAAGATATGTTTGTAAAACATGTATGCCCCCTATCAGCAGCCAATTAGTCATGACTTTTGACCTAGTGACCAAAAAATCAATAAGGGTTAATTAATAGTCACTAGGTAATTGCGACCGCAAAGGTTGTGTGCAGCAATTTTATGACAAAGTTATTTCAAATCTTACCAAATAATATATGCATAAATTTTATGAATCATGTAGGCCTCTTTAATGACAGCCAAGTTGCTATAATTTTATTACATGACCTTCAAATGTGTATACCAAAAGGATTTTTAGTTTAATAAAAAAATATCAACCAAGGCAACTTGAGTTGTTGAGTTATTGGTCAGAAATGGTCTTTACAAATGTACATACAAGGTAAATATGACAGTGACCCTAGAATCAATAGGGGTTATCTACTGGCCAAAACCAATGCACCTGTGAAGTTTGATGGTTAAGGGCCCATGAGTTGGGATAATGATCAGAAAGCAATGTTACTTATAAGGTCAATGTGATCTTGACATCTGACGCCTTAACGCCAAAAAATCCATCGAGATCCTCTTCTGACCAAAAGCAATGAATCTGTAAAGCTTGAAGGTCAAGGGTTCATGGGTTGTCCAGTTATTGATAGAAGACCATTTTGAAATACAAGGTCAATGCAACCTTGACATTTGTTCCCCTGACCCAAAAATCATTAGGGGTCATCTACAGGCCAAGACCAATGCACTCTCAAAATTTAAGGGCCAATAGCCCATAGCTTGTCAAGTTATTGATAGAAAACCAGTTCTACCTACAAGATAAATGCAACCTTGATATTTGAACCCAAAATCAATAGGGGCCATCTACTGGTCTTGAACAATCATCATACCAAGTTTGAAGTTCCTAGGCCTATGCATTCTTTAGTTAATGATCGGAAACCGTTTTTACCTACAATGTCAATGTGACCTTGACCCCAAAATCAATAGGGGTCATCTGCTGGTCATGAAAAATCATCAAACCAAGTTTGAAGTTCCTAGGCCTAAGCATTCTTTAGTTATTGATCGGAAGCCGTTTTTACCTACAAGGTAAATGTTACCTTGACCTTTGACCCCAAAATCGATAGGGGTCATCTGCTGGTCATGAACAATCATCATACTAAGTTTGAAGTTCCTAGGCCTAAGTGTTCTTTAGTTATCACCCGGAAACCATTTTAACCTACAAGATCAATGTGACCTTGACCCCAAAATCAATAGGGGTCATCTACTGGTCATGAAAAATCATCATACTAAGTTTGAAGTTCCTAGACCTAAGCGTTCTTTAGTTATCACTCGGAAACCATTTGGTCTACAGACTAACAGACCCACTGACAGACAAATGCAAAGCAATATACCCCCACTTCTTTGAAGGGGTGGGGGGCATAATAAAATTAGAAAATGCTGATAATTTTACTATTGTTATTGAAAATACAAAATGAAACAAATCCTCATGAATTGTATCAGTATTTCTCATTTTCTGCCTATTTGTTATAACAAAACATGGATAAAAATTAAAACAACTGTTCATATCATGAACAAAAAGAGGATATGTTGATAAAATATTTAATTTTGATTCTCATACCATTTTGCTATAACTGCCCCACACATACTACAATTTTTTTAATCCAATATTTCCTCTTAAATGTATTTAAATATGAAACAACACTAATGACAAGAAGGTACTAACAAAATGCTCTCAACTTGACAGTAAAGTGGAATTTCTAGCTTGTCATAAAAGCTATGATACATTGCAAATTTTAGTTCTGTGAACGCCAAAGTACATGTATCATCACATATGGTAATGTACATTCAAGGCAAAACATTTTTATCTGTGACTTTCACAAAAAAGATGTATAAACACTGTATTAAACAGAAACAAAAAGCAAGCCTGAAACTTTAAAGCTCCCTAAATTCCAAGGGCAAAAACAACTTGACTATGCATGAAGTAAAGAATTTGCCTATGCAAGTAGTAAATATCTTGCCTATGCACAAAGTAAAGAACTTGCCTATGCAAGTAGTAAGTAACTTGCCTATGCAAGTAGTAAATAACTTGCCTATGCCAGTAATAAAGCACTTGCCTATTATTCAAGTACTAAAGAACTTACCTATGCAAGTTGTAAAGAACTTCCCTATGCAAGTAGGAAATAACGTGCCTATGCAAGTAGTAAATAACCAAGCTCATATTGACAACCACACAGTTGAAACAGACTATTAACTATTCAATTTTAGGATTTCTTCACATTATTAATAATGCTTGTATATATAATGACCAAATATATGACTACATTGTGTTCTGTTTTAGGTTTTTTATATCAAAATTCTGTATGCAACTTTACAACAACAAACTGGCAAGTTCATTATACAAATTTAGTAGGGCAAATATACTTAAAGTACAAAATATGATATGCATTTATATAAAAAAGATCATTTAGACTTTAAAGCAATACTAGTTCTCATATAAAAACAGAAATATATAAATTAATCATTACCTCCCTTTGTTCATATAACTCACTTGCTTTCCCCTTAAACTCCTGAATTTTTTAAATGGCCTAGTCAAGCTCCCATTTTTAGAAGTGTCCATTATAAATTTTGGGGGTATTTTGGTCAGCCAAAAGTACAGAACTTGGTCAGACTGCAAAGAAGTACGAGCTAGTTTAGCCCTATAGTGGTGACAAAGGCTTACCAATTTTGGTTCCAGCAAGGTAAAGATTTCTCTATTATAATGGCATATGTAAATCATTGTTGCTGTTTGCATATACATGTACATTGAACCTTTGAAATAAAGAGATTCTTTTCTTTTTAAAGCTTTACTTTAAGATTGTATAATATAAAAAATTCTGCATAATGAATATGGCACATAGATACAAATAGTTAAAGTTTAAAAACCTAATGAGACAGAAACTGTATTATTAAATCTCACTCTTGCTTTGCTGTTACATATGTTATGCTACAAACTTCTTAAGAAACCTTTGATTTTACTGTTATTATTTACAAATCTTGTACAAAAAGAAAAAAAAAACACAAATAAGATGTTTATCTATCTAGGCACAAGTAAAAGTTTATAGACCACATACTATCAAGCAAAAATTCTTAAAGGATTATTCAAATGACAAAAACTAATTCAGATAAATTTTTAAATAATATATAACAAGAATATTTTCTGTATATTATTAGTTATAAAGATTGTTGACAGGTTATATGGCCCTATATAAATGGCTATTTGTAAATATAATCCGAGCCACTGTTATATTGCAAATAGCCGTTTATATACGGTCATATAACCTGTCAACAATCTTTACAACAAATTTATAATACAGCACGCATCATTTTTAGATTTCTTTACAAATCGACAGCAACCGTGCATATAAAGCTATATACACGTCACGATTATCCAATGAAAATCGACGTTACAAACGTGGAGTATTATAAAATAAATTGTTCATACTTGCTGTCCCACAATCCAAAAGTCTCGATCACAAAACTCTATAAAAAAAGAATGTAGGGCTTTCTTTGCATTATTTCAGTACTAATGCCAATATACATCAGTGACTTATCTACATTCTTCACAAATGACAAGGAAAAAAAGGGAAGTTAATTTCAATAAATGGACATTGGAATGCTATTATATCACATCTTAACTGATCAATGTTACATAAATTTGTCACAAAAACATTAGACAAAAACATGAAAGAAAAAAACTATGCAAGATAACCAATGCTAATAAATACAAAAAGTAAAAAAAATAAACAAGCTTAAAGGCCCATTATTCCTCAGAAATCAATATTTTTTTAATTCTTTAAAAATGAATAATGTTTCAGTGATGGATTAGGGCATGTTTGATTTTAAACAACTGAAAAATGATATGCATATCCTGCAGTAATGTGTTGTAACAATAGCAAAATGTAAACAAAGAAGTATTCGGACTTCCATACAAAATACTTAATCACTCTAATTATACCAATCCCCAAAAAGTAACAGACTCAAAAGATAGTTCATATGGACAATGAGTGTTGCAAGATACCAAAATCAAGATTGAAGAATAAAAATCGCAGCATTACGAAGGCTTAATGGGCCTTTAACACAATAAAATTTTAAGAAGCTATGTAAGCTAAATCCACCATAAAATAATTGTATAGCTTTTTAAACAAACAAGCAATTATCATAGTATTGCAAGCAATCCATAAGTCCCCTACCGGTTAGAACCTCATCAACATTCTGAAGGGCCATTCATGGCCATTCACTAATGTTTCAATTTTTCTCCATTTTAAGTAAACTTGTTGGAAAAGTTCTTTAAAAGTGATCACAGGAAACAGTTTTTATGAACAGAAAGACAGACGGACTGAAGGACACTCTAAAGTTAATATTTAAAACATCCCTGTTACCAAAATATAACATTTTAAAAGCAAAATTCTTAAAGCGGAGATAACTCTTGAATTAAAGATGCAATTTCATAAAAATTTTCAGCTCTTTTTGACTAATCACAAATATTGTTATATTTGCCATGTTTTAAGCCTATTTGTTGCCAAGGCAACTGATATTTTTTCAAAATAGGAAGAACAGATAAGACATGCATAATCTCAAGATTGCTATCTACCCAGATGTCAAGTTTCATTAAAATATTTCCAGTATTTTTTGAGTTATCACTGGATTCAGTTTATGTGTAAAATTTGCCATATTTTCAGTCTATGTGTTGCCATAGCAACCAGAATTCTCAACATAGGAAGAAAAGAAAAAGACTTGCATAATCTCAAGACTGCCATCTACCCATAATTATGTCAAGTTTCATAAAAATATTTCCAGTACTTTTTGCTTTATCACTGGATCCAGTTTATGTGTAAAATTTGTCATAATTTCAGCCTATTTGTTGCCATAGCGACCAGAATTCTCAACATAGGAAGAAAAGAAAAAGACGTGCATAATCTCAAGACTGCCATCTACCCATATGTCAAGTTTCATAAAAATATTTCCAGTACTTTTTGCTTTATCACTGGATCAAGTTTATGTGTAAAATTTGCAATATTTTCAGCCTATTTTTTGCCATAGCAACCAGAATTTTCAACATAGGAAGAAAAGAAAAAGACGTGCATAATCCCAAGACTGCCATCTACCCATATGTCAAGTTTCATAAATATATTTAAAGTACTTTTTGCGTTATCACTGGATCCAGTTTATGTGTAAAATTTGCCATATTTTCAGCCTATTTGTTGCCATAGCAACCAGAATTTTCAACATAGGAAGAAAAGGAAAAGACGTGCATAATCTCCATACTGCCATCTATCCATATACCAAGTTTCATAAAAATATTTTCAGTACTTTTCAAGTTATCGCGGGATCCAGTTTTGTGGACGGACGGACTGACGGACTGACAGACAGACAGACGGACGGACAGACAGACGGACGGACGGAGGGTAAACCTAAAGTCCCCTCCGGTAAACCGGTAGGGGACTAATAAAAAAATATTATTAAATATGTAGATTAACCCATGCTCAAGGCCAAAAATATATAGAGATATGTAAGTAAATATGGCATTTTTACTGCATTTAATCATTGACAACAAATGTATAACAGGAATGTTGAGTTATTAATGGTCCCATAAATAATCTGGCTAGTTATAAGGCTACTAAAGACTAGCTGAATTCAGCAACATGTTACCAAAAAAAAAAAAAATTTAAAAAAATAGTTAACTTTACCCCAACAACTTCTAACCCAACAAATCAAATACATTTTTCTAACTTTAGCTTTATCATTTAGCTGGACAAACATCGCATCAATACTATCCATCCCACAAGTGCCTGATGTCTTAACACACATACCCCTATCACTATATATGAGCTGCGCCATGACAAAACCAACATAATGTGTTTGCGACCAGCATGGATCCAGACCAGCCTGCGCATCCGCGCAGTCTGATCAGAATCCATGCTGTTCGCTTACAAACCCTATTACAAGTAGAGAAACTGATAGCGAACTGCATGGATCCTGATCAGACTGCGCAGGCTGGTCTGGATCCATGCTGGTCGCAAACGCATTACCTTGGTTTTGTCATGGCGCTGCTCATATAATAATAATAAACATATTATAGATATAAGAAGGTATGAAGGGGATATTAAGACTTCAGGCATATGTGACACATCCTATTCTAATATTAACATATTTATACTTTGCCCCTTACTTAACAATAACTTAAACTCAGAATGTTCATTCTCAGATCTGCACTCAATCTTGCTAATAAACTAAATACTAAATATTGCACACTTGATTCCAACTTGTAATATCACATCATTTAATATGAATACATATTTCCTTCAACACATAACTGTCTCCCTGTTACAACAATGATATCTGAGACATTACACACATATAGCACATAAAATTTACATAAATGTTTTTTCTGTCTAAATGTTCAACAAACTGATATATTCCAAGTTTATAACAAGACTATTCTCAACTATTCTCAGTGCTTGACACTAAGAAAAGGGGCATAACTCTGAAAAAAGGTAACTGAGTTATTTTCTTGTGGGTCAGAATCTGGCTTCTAGAGGAGAGATATTGCCCATACACAAATCAGTACAATATCTCAACGTGTAGTATAATTAGTTGGACCTTTTTTTATTGAAGTTCTGTTTTAGTAAAATGATGATCTATCATATTAAAACTGCTTGGCTTTCTTCTTCTCTTTCTTTATAGCACCGTCTTTGTTATCCTTCAAAAACCCTGAAAATATAACATACCAAAATGAGTATTGTTCAATTTTTACTATAGATAATTTAAACTTTTCCGTATTATATCAGAATACTGACCCCCAAAAATGGCTGCCACTTTTCCAAGGGAGGTAAATATTGGCCTGTTGGGTGGAAACAAGACTTGGCGATCCGAACTGCAAACATGACAGATATTTGTTCTTGCATATTCTACCATATTCCATTATATTTTAATTTTTTTGCCTTAATAAAACAATTTTTCCATGGAAATTTAGGTTATTACACTCGTAACTATTTTACAACTTTATTCATAATGGTAAAATTACTATTGAGCATGCCATTGTATATATACATGTAGCATGTGACTATTCGGGCATGGGTAAAACTAACAGAAATGCCATACACAATTTCATTTACTAAATGATAGTGGTTGTTCATTTTTTTTACCATGGGTATGGGAACGAACCAAATGGGCGGGCAAACTTAATTGGTATAAACAAATAAAAGATTTACTTCTTTCCAAATTCTAAATTCAGTAGGTAATGTGCATTGAAATTGTACAAATCAAACAAATACATGTGAAACCCTACCAGCAAATACCAGGCACTGTGCACAATAACTGTGTAATTGTGACATACAAAAATATGTCATATCAATTTTATATCATTCAACATAATTGTTCATCTTCATTCTTTCGTTAACCATTATCATTTATGAAACAATACTTCTTGTATGACTTATACTGAATTTTGGGAGTATAAAAGAATCAAAAGTCTGTAGGTTCAAATTTTCAACCAAGACTACTCATCTAAAATTGTACAAAACTTTTTTGACAAATTCATTACCTGATTTGTCCTTAAACAAAATACATAAAATTAAAATGATGTATTTATTATGATATTTGTCAAATTATCAAAATGGGAATGAATCATGTATAAGCAATACTTAGAATATAACACGTTGAACAAGCATGCAAACATTGAACTATGATAAATAAGATAAGAAATATAATGTGATGCAAGGTGAAATATAAACAGCATGCTGTTTCAATAACATTTATTGTCAAGCCCATTTGCGGTGAGTTCGACTTAGTTGTCACTTTTGGCGTATACACACATTGTAGTTCAGTGTATGTGTCCATCAGTCCGTCCATCAGGATTTTTCTTCTTTGAAGGATTAAAAAATAACTTAATATAAATGTTCACCATGATGGGGTTATGTGTTACACAAAGGTCAAGGTCACACTTGGTTAGTCCATGCAAAACCCATGTCCAGTACGTAACATCTACATGAATGGTGGGATCTTAATATAACTTGGGATAAATGTTCTCCATAGCATATGTGAGTGTTGCACCAAAAATTCAGGTGTCTGTGGCAAAGGTAAAGGTCTTACTTCAGGGTCAAAGGTCAAATAACAAATGAAAAAATTCATATGTGAGTAAAACTTCTACATACATTGATGGATTTTAATATAACTCAGAACAAATGTTCTCCATGGTGAGTTGAGTTGTCTTGCACAAATTGAAGGTCAAGGTTACAAGAGGAAAAATATCCAAATTTGTTTCTCCGCACTGTTTTTGGCTTATGTTTTAAAGTATTATACTTAGTGGTCAGAGGATTTTTGTCAAGCCCGCTTGAGCTGAGCTCATCATAGTTGTCAAAATGGCTGTTCAGTGTTTGTGTGTGAGTGCGTGCATCCAGACTTGTCCATGCCATAACTTCATCATCTGTGGAGGAATTTTCAAATAACATGAATTGAGTTTTTTAGGACAAATGTTCATCATGAGACTTCTTGTCATTTACATGAACCAGGTCACTGGGTCAGAGGTCAAAGTCACCCAAGATAATGCAATGTCAAATTTTGCCTTGGGTATAAAGAGTATGTGTTAGGCACATCTCACCTATGCATACATCTTTCTCCTTGATCTGAAGCTTGTAGGTTTTATAACTACATGTATATATTACATTTAGTCACAAAGAGGAAGTATGATCTCTATCAGTGAGGAATCGTGTAAAATTTAGGAGTCACAGGGCCCGAAGTTTAATTCAGGTCAGGACTTTTAATGTCTTCCTCCATAGCATTGAACATTCGAGTAGTTTAAGACTGTTTTTTACAATTTAAAGGTGAAGCAGCACAGAATGCGTATGCCACAGAGAAAGCCTTCGAGAAAGATGTACAGTGTATGATATGGGTATAACATTGTTTTTTACATCTGACTTGTGCAGCAACTCACATTATAAATTGCCATGGTTTTTATGAAATCATTTTGTTATTAGCTTATATTTTCTAGGAACTTTTGAAATATCATTTCAACAATGGGTGTTTATAATACATTAAACCTTATTAATTTAGTTTTTAAACAGTCTGGTCAGAAAAAACTTGGACAGCACTTATATGTACAAAGCACAATAATGGCAATACCAAGATTTTAACTTTTCATATTATACAAAACAAGCCATGACAAACCAAGTTAAAAGGTGTAAAAAGTAATTAAAATAAAGTAAATAAATATAATGCATGCAATGGAAAATTCAACTACTTTAAACTACCTGTTTATTAATTGTATCAGACTATCTACAATATATACAAGTGTATTTTTTCATGACATTAATGACATTAATGATTATGTTCACACCATTCTGGGTTAGGATATTTATTTTGACCATTAAATTTCTAAAAGTCAAGTGCCAAAATTGGCATTTTCGGCTTTTTATTTAGGGCTTTTCACTAATCTAAACATCTTCAAAACATGTATATTTTTTCCACCTACTATAATCATTGATGCAGATAAGAAATTCAATGCATATGTAATACTATCTATTCATAAATGTAGAAGTGCCAAATGTTCAATACTTTAACCATGCACAGAAAATAGATAGATAAAATGCTGACTCAACAAATTTCAACACAAAAATTACTCTTTATCCATTTAAGTACCTATACACATTGACCACAAGGCAATGATATATGCATTACAAAAACGACATAACAAATGGTCATTCAGTAGTTATAACTCATGCAAAATGGGTGCAATATTATCTTAACAAGAAACAGTGATAAACGGGGTGTAAAGTTGGAAGGAAAATCTAAAATATACCTGAGTAAGCTACATAGAAGCAATACAATATCCTCACCTAATTTTTTCTTTTTCTTAGGCTTTTTGTACTGTTTACTAAAAGCTTTAATACATAAAATAAAACACATGTTTTATATATAGCTTGTAGGTAAGATTGAAGAAATAACCTGGTTAAATATTCTAAATTCTTATACAAGTTATACAGCTTACCATCAATCCTGGTTTTATCATAATTTTCTATTTAGCATTGATGTGGTTTGAAGGATTTTATGCAAATCTAATTTTGATTTTTTTTTGTATAAAAACAATGTCTTTGATAAAAAAAATTATCTACACAGACAACTTATTGATTCTTGACAAGAAATTTCTATAATTAGCGAGTAAGCCTAATGCCATGTTTGGAACAACTGAGAGCAAATTTGGCTAAACTGAGCATTTGGCTAAACTGAGCAAATTTGGCTGAACTGGGCAACTTAAGCTGAACTAAGTTACTAACAAAAACATATTTAAAATGAGTAATCAAGCCTTCAGGGCAATATGCTCTAGTTTAAACTTCATTTCATAGTGTAAATATTGCATTTATTGTCAACATGAATATTCTTACTCTCTCTATGACGAAAGTAAAAGAAGCAATATATACTTTATTAATATGAAATATGATATTTCATTGACAACAACATGTGGTATGCTATAAACATAATCAAACCAAATCGTAACTTAAACTGAAACACAACACAATAAAGCTCTAGTTTCTAATACAGCAAACATAAAATATTTGATACACTGCAACCAGTAGTCATATTACTATATTTATAATGTTAACTGTACCTTTCAGTTGCAGCATAGCTTCAATTTCATTGTCTTCCTCCATGTATCTAAATAATAGAACAAACATATTTCAACTAGTTTTTCACTACTGTCTGTTTCATTTATTGTAAGTAATTTGCAAAGTCCATAAATGTAACTATGCAATTTAATTAGTTTTGTATCACAGATTATAATATTATTAAATATGTCACTGGATAACAATGAAAACAGTCTGTGCTGAAAAAGAAGATACAATGATTGTACTCTTTCAATCAGATATAACATCTAGGTAACACATTCACCTGCATTAGCTTTCTTGGTAGCAACCACTCTGCATTGGTTGTTTCTTTAGCCAAAGATATAGTAGTGTTTTACCAATGTCACATGTAGTTTGGATGACAAAATATTTAACATTAAAGCAGCATGCCTCCAGATTTATGCTTATTTTTATGAAAATTTTAGAAATATATTTACAAGTAAACTACAGTTGAGACTCTTAAAACAGTCTCAAAGAAAATTAAAATTCAAATACCATCTATATACCATTGTGACTTATATATATAACTGTGTGAAGGAACAATAATTAACCACTGGCAAATAAAGATAGGGGTACTTAAACAGTTTATATATTTGTTGTATATAAAATTAGAATCCCTGTAAAACAAATATCATCACATGAATATCATGTAAAATTTAATTTTATTTTTTGTATTAGATTTATATTGAATCATTATGGTACAAAATAAACTTGAATTTGATGCATTTAAATAAACATCATACTTTAAAAACATATCCACATCCAAAGTTTTTTCTCTTATTAAAAGGTGTGAAAGTCGTTTAAATCAGACAAAGCAATGCATTTGGACCAGACAATTATGGTCGCTTGTCACATATGACAGGGAGTTGTATAATTCAGACCATTTATATAGGGAAATACGTTGGGAAGCCTGAAACAGTCGGATAAGACAGGGAGTCGTTTAAATCAGTAGGTCGCTAAGACAGTCTTGACTGTATTGTCAAATGAACATACAAAGTAATTACACACTGCAAACACACTAAATATCTATGAGCATATCCCAAAACAGGGCAGAATATGCAAAAAAATCGCCCTTCAATAACGTCAGTCATGCAGTAGAAATATGATTAATACTGCAAAACCAGTCATTCAGTGCATATAACATGTAAATTATTTGTTGTATTTTGAATATTTTTCTTTTCTTTAAATCTTAGTACATTTTTCTCAAATTTGAATGTCTTGAAATATTTTTGCTCACCTGGAGGCATGTACCATTAATACTGATATGGGCCTTTGGTACTATAATTAAGATACTCAATATGGTTCTATAATTCAGATACTTCATAACTGGTTCTATAATTAAGATACTTAATGTGGCTCTATAATTAAGGTGTACCTTTGTTATAAACAAACCTGATTCTATCTTCATCTATACTGTCTACAATTTTACTTCTCTGGTTAACTACATCTACCAACTTCTCCATCAACAATTCCTCTTCTTCTTCATCAGCTTTTGTCTTTTCTGCAAACATACAATATTACTTCTTATTTAACTATCAACTGGCCAGGGAGGATAAAGAATTGCATGTGTATATCACAGCTTGGCCAGTCTCTAGCCTCTGAATTTACATATCAAAGTTTCTTAAACTAACAAAAGGCCATATATTGCTTACCAGAATTAATAAATATAAAAGAAGCACCACACCATCCCATACATTTGGTACTCAGTCACCTATATATGTATTATTTTCATTTATCAATACTAAATTCTGACCAAATTAAGATTCAATATACATAGGAAAGTGACCATTAAATACATGTAGGGAAAACAGGTAAACAATAAATCAACATAGATATACCTTTCTTATCAACAAGTTCTCTCAATTTCTGATCTATCTGCTGCTGTTCAATCTCCAGCTCTTGTTCACGAGATCTAAAATAGTGAAAGGAAAAACTTACACTAACAACCTTGTATAGCTAAAATGAAAATGGATTTTTAACTAGGAAAGAGTACAGAGAACATGTATGACCAATCTTACAAATATATTTTCATCTAACATTAGGCTAAGTAACTTTCTGTTATTTACTTCTAGAAAAATGTATAGAATGTCTTTCTTTTGACCAAATCAAGAGAGGTAAGTCTGGTTAAATTTTAGCTACACCAAGAGCCACAACTCTGATGTGATTGATCAAATATAGTTATTAAAACCAAAGTGTACTGGCAGTAGGTGTAAGATCTGTACCAGCATCCAGTGTAAGATCCTTATAATATTGATCACTTATCAAATCAAAATGATTATAATCAAAATGATTTTTTTCTACCAAGTAAAATATGAGCCGCGTCACGACAAAACCAACATAGTGCGCTTGCGACCAGCATGGATCCAGACCAGCCTGCTCATCTGCGCAGTCTGATCAGAATCCATGCTGTTCGCTTACAAGCCCTATTCCAAGTTGAGAAACTGATAGCGAACAGAATGGATCCTGATCAGACTGAGCAGAAGCGCAGGCTGGTCTGGATCCATGCTGGTCGCAAAAGCACTGTATCTCAAAAGCTCTTGTGTGCATCATTTCAACACAAGGAAGCTGCATCACACAGACATTCTTGTAACAAATATAATAAATTTAAAACTTAATAATTTGAAACTTACACATAGATATAATCACACTCTTTCCTAACAAGCTCGTTTTTCTCATTAACAAGCTGGAACCAGGCCATCATCAGGTCATCTTCTTCTTCATCTTTAGCTGTAATATACGCATAGTATTTGTGTTTATAACCAATATTTAGGTAAAACATTGTATACAAAAAAATTCTGTGTTTATTACATCATATCATACAAAAATATGTATAAAAAATTTACATATGTGTGATATATATTGCAAACATAATATAGTATGCTAAAAAGGCTGAACAAATCTCAATTTCAATGGAATGCTATATACTGCTTTATACTATCAACTAACAAGACAAGACAAGCAAATTTAGCATGCATTTTGTTGGGATAATGTTAATGAATGATAGAACTGATGATATACATGTATAATGTATAAATATTGCATAATGTTAAAATATGGTAAAAAACAAACCTGAAATAATCAATTAAAATTCAAATAATGACTATGTTACTGTCTAAGAAGTCCCAAGAAATTTGTAACAACAAATGAAGACAAACAAGAGGGCCATGATGGCCCTAGATCGCTCACCTGAATTATCAAACTCATCCAAACAATTACCTAGACAAGCATTCTGACCAAGTCTCATGACAGGTGAGTCAAAAATGTGACCACTACAGTGTTAACAAGGATTATCCATATTTGAGCAGTGCGACCTAGTTTTTTACCCAGGTGACACATATTCAAACTTGACCTAGAAATCATCAAAACAAACTTTCAGACCAATTTCCAGGATACTTGGATCAAAATAGTAGCAACTAGAGTGTTAACAAGATTTTTCTATTTTTAGCTCCGGTGACCTAGTTTCACATGCGATTTCGAACTCATCCAAGCAATTACCTAGACAAACATCCTGACCAAGTTTGATGATAATTGAGTCGAAAATGTGACCACTAGAATGTTAACAAGGTTTTTCCATATTTGGGCGGTGTGACCTAGTTTTTCATCCAAGATGACCCATGTTCGATCTTGACTTAGAAATCATCAAAACAAACTTTCAGACCAATTAACAGAATATTTGGATCACAACAGTAGCCACTAGAGTGTTAACAAGATTTTTTCTATTTTTAGCTCCTGTGACCTAGTTTTTCATCCGAAATGTCCCATGTTCGATTTATTCCAGCAATGACCTAGACAAGTTTCCTGACCAAGTTTGATGACAATTGAGTCAAAATTGTGACCACTAGACTGTTAACAAGGTTTTTCTATTTTTAGCTCCTGTGTCCTAGTTTTTCATCCAAGATGACCCATGTTCGAACTCATCCGAGCTATCACCTAGACAAGCATCTTGATCAAGTTTGATGATGATTGATGCAAAAATGTGACCGCTAAAGTGTTAACAAGGTTTTTCTATTTTTAGCTCTGGTGACCTATTTTTTTCATCCGAGATGACCCATGTTCGAACTCATCCAAGCTATCAACTAGATAAGCATCCTGACCAAGTTTGATGATGATTGATGCAAAAATGTGACCACTAGAGTGTTCACAAGGTTTTTCTATTTATAGCTCCGGTGACCTAGTTTTTCATCCGAGATGACCCATATTCGAACTCATCCGAGCTATTATCTAAACAAGCATCCTGACAAAGTTTGATGATGATTGGGTCAAAAATGTGACCACTAGAGTGTTCACAAGGTTTTTCTATTTTTTAGCTCCTGTGACCTAGTTTTTCATCAGAGATGACCCATGTTCGAACTCATCCAAGCAATTGACTAGACAAGCATTCTGACCAAGTTTGATGATGATTGGTTCAAAAATGTGACCACTAGAGTGTTCACAAGGTTTTTCTATTTATAGCTCCTGTGACCTACTTTTTCATCCGAGATGACCCATGTTCGAACTCATCCAAGCTATCACCTAGACAAACATCCTGACCAAGTTTGATGATGATTGGGTCAAAAATGTGACCTCTAGAGTGTTCACAAGGTTTTTCTATTTTTAGCTCTTGTGACCTAGTTTTTCATCCGAGATGACCCATGTTCGAACTCATCCGAGCTTTCAACTAGATAAGCATCCTGACCAAGTTTGATGATGATTGAGGCAAAAATGCGACCGCTAGAGTGTTCACAAGTAATTGTGGACGGCCGGACGGACGACGGACGACGGACGACGGACGACGGACATTCACCGATCCTAAAAGCTCACCCTGAGCAAGCTCAGGTGAGCTAAAAATCATGACTATTGATGGTCAGTTTGTGATGTCACATTATACAATTTAAGAATGCAATGAAATTAAGTATCTTTTTTCTTTATAATTTTGTATCTCTTTATTTACAATGAAAATGAATAAGCATTCTGTTTTTAAGATTCTTAGGGAAATGAAAATAGAAATCAAAGGATGAATGCTAGCTGTCAACCAAGTTGTATGTTGATTGGGGTGCAGACATAAAACAGGCAAATATCTGGCAAAAAGATTGAAGCAAACAGACATAATATACCTGACATAAACATACATAAAAATTATTAATTTGAAACACATTCACAATAAGCTCTTAGCTCTGGACACAATAAGTTGTTATACTAAAGCAATGAGATGCGATTGTACATGTAAGTTAAGCTTGAAGCATAACTACATGTAGCAGTGTGATTGCAAGTTGCATTACATAAAATATTTCTTTAAAAAAAAACACGCACAAATTTGAAAAGGATATAAATATGATGGATAGTGTGCTACTAGTATTTAAATGCAATGTTGGAGAAGATTAAACTACGGTTTTACTACTCTTATTATGCATCAGTCATTCGTAACCCTGGCCACCATACCCCACCCAGTCCAAATTTGCATATAATAGAAGGGGAAATATTAGCCATGGTTTACTCTACCTGTAATTTCGAATCAATACACTGAAGCACTTTTTAGAAATAAGAATATATAAAGTTAGGTTAGCACTATTTACCCCATACTGCATATACAGTGGTTTTATATATGCATCAAGATGAGCTTGGGTCCCAAAGTAAAATTATTTCTCCATGTGTTGAGGTGGGTCGTTTTTTTTTTGTTTTTTTTTTTTTTCTGGTTAGGTTTAACGTCACACCAGCACAGTATAGGTCAGCACGTTTCAACTTTACCGATGGAGAAAGACCTTAGGTGCCCTTCCATGCATTATTTAAAGCACAAATGGGCACATGAGTAGAACCACCGACATTACATAAGAGAGATGGATTATAGCTTCCTCACATGGAAAAATTCAAAGTCCCTGTCCGGTGGGGAGGGTTACAAATGACTTTTGCATTAGATAATGAAGCTAGCATTTCTTCTCAAAGGTATTGCAAGGGACTAGCTGTTGTTACCATCAGTCTGTCTATCTAGCAATATAGGCCTAAAGTAAAATGAACAGATATATTCACATACTTGGAAGACTGATTTCGAAATAATTCAAATGAATTTATAACTACTGGGAATAAAACATTTATGAGGTTTTATCACTGTTCTACTACGAGACAGTACAGCAAATAATGGTAAAGGATGGAAAATTTTGCTGGTTATAACATAAAAGACCTACTTTCATCATCTAAACCTTCATCAGTCTCCTCCGCTAGAACTTCAATTATATTATATTAAATGAAAGCTATTTGTATTTAATAACTAAGAAATATTCAACACAGAAAAGATTGTAGTTGCAATCTAACTTGGCATGGATTATAAGCAGTTTTTACACTATTCATGTATATGAAGTCTTTATCATGTACTAAAAATAATATTTTTTATCCAATCTAAAAAAAAATCAAATATTTTAATAAAACTTCATACATGTTTAAATCAATACAGACAACACATTTTGATCTGTTTTACTCCAAAAACTGACATTTTAACATTCCTTAATCTATAACCTGTTAGGATCAAAAGTGATAAGACTTTGCCACCAGTATAGAGCTGGGCTGCACATCAGTTCAGTCTGACCCGAGACTCTATTACACTATATACTGTAATGGTAGCTCAATTTCTGTATCCCCCTTCCATTTTTAAATATACTCTTCCATGTTCAATGCAGGGCCAATCAATTAAAAAAATTTAGGATGTTAAGGATTTAAAGATTAAGTAATTTTGTTAATAGAGTGACTCACATTGCCCCTGCATTTTATAAGATTATAATAATATGACAAAGTTTCATGAAAATTAGATGAAAAATATAATAAATTTACTTGTTAATGATTAAATTGTCTACTTAAAACTCTGTGCTCAGGTATTAAAGTAATTAAAAGGACAAAACATTTAGAGTATCTGCCACTTAGAAATGCATATATATATATACAAGTACAAGAAACATGGACATATTGTTTCTAAAATCATAAAATTTTATGGAAATAAAACATCTATAACCTACATAAGCCAAATAATACAGTAAAGTTCCGCTAATACAGCCACACAATATGGTGGTCTTCATTAATAATATCTGTCATATGTTATGGTTCAGATAGGAATATCTCTCCTGACGGTACCCCTCTCATTCAAAGCGATAGCGAGGCTTGCCAAGTTGACACCCATGAGTAGGTACCCAAGGGATGAATATTTCGATCTGAACTGCAAGCAAGAGTCAGCTATTTTTTTTCTTCATTATTATGCCATATTCTACCACATTTAAAATGGTTTACCTCAATGAGATAGTTTTCATGTATTTTGTTACAATAGCGTATGAGTTTACAACTTTATTCATAATGGCAAAATGATGTCATCCTCTAAGACAAATTATAAGTTTCAATCTAAATTGCGCCAAAATGAAATCATTTTCACACAGTCTATTCATAAGATGTATGCCATTGTATAGCATGGGACTCATCTGGCATCCCCCATGCCAGATGAAATTTCTGGCATGGGTAAAACTAAACACCATGCAAGAATGTGATATATGGTCTTAACAGCGGACCATTTTTGTCCTACATTTTCCACAGGTTCTTTTAAAATGTGAAAATACACATGATTTTAAAATATTTTAAGTGGTCTTATTATCGGAACGTTACTATATTTATCATACAATTAGCTGGATAATTCTAATGTAAAGCTGTACTATTTCTAAATAAAATCCCTTGTTTATCATATCTTTCTATGTTATATTGGCAAGATTACCAATTCATTTACTAAGTTTGTATTTTCTTTTTTTCTTTTCTTTGGTCAAATTCTTTTTGCATATTACCAATCATATTTCTGATTCATACTTTCAATAAATTTCATCATTCTTCATAACATTCTAAGTCAATGGTACTGAGTAAAACATAATGCCAAACTAAATAATCAAGTTTAAAGTCTTGTTTTAATTATTATAAGTAAGACAGAGTTGTCTCTCTTGGCACATTATAAAGAAAGAGTACAGCTTAAAAAATTAACGAAAACTGCTACCAAATGAAAATCCTTTACCATTTTTTTCTACCTTTATTATCAAAATTTCATTTAACACAGTCTATTGAGGTTTGAATAATAATGAAAAGAATGACATTTTATTCATCAACTAAACATTGAAAATCTGTTGCCTGTGACTGTTGAGCTTTAACCAGTCAAGTGTTGAACTTTAGAATATTATTATAACCAGTCAAATAAATATTTTTAGATTTATAATTACAAACCATTAATCTGCTGCATCTTTGCAGACTAACTGGTAACATATATTTTGTTATTGAAATCCCTAGAACATTCTTTTGGACTGTTCCAAAATTCAAAACAGGACAAATCCATTATAAATTCAGTACTGGTTAACCTTTAACCTGCTGTATTTCTTGAATGGACTTGTCCAGCTTCCATATTTGGAACTGTCCATTACCCATGATGGGTATGTCAAAATGAAATTTTTCAGACAACAGCATAGAAGCTGGTCAGACAGCACAGAAGTGTGCAAGCTGGTCTGGCTCTATACTGGTGGCAATAGTTAATTACTTTCAGTTCAAGCAGAATTATAGTTAATGAAAAATTTCAATGCAAACGTCAATAGACTGTGTTGACATGACCTGAGTTTGTTATAGAGTCACAATTTCTAGGCACATTTATAAAAACAGAATACCATTTCATGTATATCAGTACCAGATTGTCTTATATTTGTTCTTTCCTTGTGCCCTGGTGTAATAGTCAACAAAATAAACAGCTAAATGTAATGACAACATATCTTTTACAGGTGTATTGTGTAAAAATAAATGTTCCTTATATTTCTTGTGAAGTATCATTTTTGCTATTTATGTTTCTGGTATTTTGAAGGCCCATTTGTACTAGTCTCTTAATGAAAATACTACCAGCATTCTTACCAGTAGTCCAGTACTAACCAGTACCCCTAAGATTCAATCTTTGTACAATTGTATTCTTATTAAGTTTCTGACCCTCCTGAATTGTAGTCTGTGCATGTCACAGACACAGTACAGACAATTTTACCTAGGGTTAACTTTTGTAAGGTATTACTACCACAGGCACGAGTATCGGACCTAGGAAGAAAAAATATGACCAGATTGATAAAAAAAACCTGTGTTCATCTTAAAAGTGTCAAAAAACCAAAACAAAATGTAAATAATGACCCCCTTTAAAAATATACTATGTAAGTTTAACTTATAGTATATTTTTAAAGGGGGTCATTATTTACATTTTTTTTGTTTTTTTGACACTTTTAAGATGAACACAGGTTCAATCTGGTCATATTTTTTCTTCCCAGGTCCGATACTCGTGCCTGTGATTACTACTGATTTGAAAGTTTTTGCGTAAAAACAGAGATTTCATTATTAAAACATTTTGCCTACAACTATGACCATGACCTTAAAAATAAGGCACCAGAAATGTGCGTTATGTACATTTTTCAATAAACATTTGGCCTACATACAAATATCCTGCTTTTAGTTTAACTAAAATCTTTGACCTTGAACTGTGACATTGACCTAAACGAGTGGCTCTTGGAATGAAATTTCTGCACTTTATCTTCAAACAATATTTGAACTAAAAAAATCAATAAGTCCCTCAAGATTTAAAAGATATAGAGCAGACACAAAATGCTTGCTTCAACCTTTGACCTTTATCTGTTACCTTGACCTTAAAGATTGGCTCCTGAAATTTGGGGTTAACACATCATCTATGAGTAATTTATAAGAAATTTAACCAAAGAAGCATGAATATCCCTATTAGCTATAAAGTAGACCTAATAACAGAGGGCACAAAATAATACATCCCTTAGGGCACAAATAAATGAAGAAAGGTGATCAGAAAATTATCTACTATACTCAATGTGACAATATGTGAACTTAAAGGGTTGATAGTGTGATCTGATCTCCTCCATGCAATTTGGAGAACATTTGAATGAATATACCCGCCACAATCACCTTAATTAATCCTCCTTTATATTGCAGTCTTTAAATACAAATATTACAAGCCATATAATATATACAGAGAGATAACTGGAAATATATGCAAATATATCTCACGTTCATACACAAAAGGTAGACTATATTATATTATACATGCAAATGTAAACATTGATTTTGCATGAAAATGAAAAGCAGCTAAATATTACAATATATTTTTCCTTATATAAATCAGAAAATATAAAATGTCAAAACTTTTGAAAGTTCAGAATTTCATAGTATATGCAACTTGTAAATGTAAAAAAAAATCAGATGTATTATAATTTACTATAAATTTTTGTACCCTTAAAAAACTGATGCAAAATGAATTATTTTTGTTTCAACTTTGTTTCAATTTAGAACTGATTTCATCATGTCTTAATTAAGTATCATAATAAATCTTTACACTGTTGACACTACAATTCAAGATATAAATCCAAACAATGATACACACATAGGATGTAAAATGTTTTGAAACTTTACTTGGAGCTACCCTCTAGCAAAAATTTCAAATGTAAATGGCAGATATTTTTGGCCACAAAAAAAAGAAGCTCAAACTATCTGATTCTCTATTCTGTAAACCAATCTGAAGCTCTGGACAGTTTTCAGACTTGTTCCCATTCTTCAGATTAATATTCTTAACAATATCTTACTTAGCATATAAACTACAACAGAACATTATGGAATGATAAAATGATAATCAAGTTTCCAATTAGCAAAGTAGAGAAGGCAAAATAGAATACCCACCATTTCTTATAGAGTCCTCTAGTGAACGTCCCTTCAACTCTAGCTGTGTAAGTTTTGTGTCAATAACCTGTAACTGTTTCTGTATCTGGTAGGCAGTGATATGTTTGCTTCCTTTAAACTGGTAAAATTATACAAAACACAAATATAACACAACAATATAATGATACTGAGTCGTATACACCAGCAAGTTGAGGATACATGATAAGCTTTGCTGATGCTATCGGCTCTGATCAAGATTTCATGCTTTATATACCAAACTGTCATATTAAATAATAGAAACTTTAGCAAAGAATGAGATTTCTTCAGAATGCAGCAGGTGTTATAACGAGGTGTCTGGATTTAAACGCACTATGTTGGTTTTGTCATGACGCGGCTCAAATATAACGCAACAATAAAATGTTTCAGAGCTTCATCAGGATAACAAGAAAAGATATACAATAAGTTATAAAGATTTGTGATGGGTTATATGGCTCTGTATAAATGATTGTTACATTGCAAACAACCATTTATATACTGCCATATAACCTGTCAGGAATATTTATAATACTGCAAACTTTCTTTTTTAGACAAAGAAGTGAGATTTCTTCATGAATTGACAGCAGTCGTGTTTATAAAACTTTATAAGAGGTGCTGGATTATCTAAACAAAAGTAACATTATTAATGTGTAGTATTATATCGCCTGTAATATACAATAATCTGAAATTAAAACACTACATAAGATACTAAAATACAAAAGTATATAATTCAAGATTTCGGTAAACTAAAACAACTCATTGATATTAAGGAAATGTTTTAAATTGCTACATAGAAAATAATATAGCTGTATCTAATGCCTGCATTTCAAAGATTAAAGTCCAGTGTGTGAACCAATAATGAGGTACATTATTATGCAAGGTTTTGGCAATCTGAAACCATTCTTGCGTCATGACTTATGTCTGAATCTGCTTTATCACATTTCCTTTGCGAAGGAACATTGGGTTATTCCATCTAAATATACAAAATAATAAGCCTTCAACTAGGCAAACTTTATTTTACAAACAAGCCTTAACCTTTGAAGTTTCTTTGGAAAAAAAAAATTAATCAACTTCATTCATTCACTATTGAAAATATTGAACATTACACATATTGAAAACTAAAGAAAGCCTTACCCCTTCAGTTTTGGGAGGTGGAGGTCTTGCAGGCCCTGGACTAGTTGGAACTTTTGGACTATGTGGTTGAGTAGCTGGTCTTGGTGGCTTCTTTGGTGCTGGTGTTACTTCAATTTCATCAAACTTGAACTTATGATCAACAGTTATCCTCTTTTTTGAAACTTCACTAGGTTTTTGATTTTCATTAACATTTTCACCTTTATATTCTATCTTGTGTCTTTGAGGTAATTCTATTTTATAATCAGCACTAGGTGCAACATATTTATCTGATATGTCTTTATTTTTCATCCCTACAGGGGATAATGCACGAGATGCATTGTTTCTATTTGTATTTTTATCATCAATTTTTACTTTTTCTGGATCTATATAACCACCTTTTCTAGCCTCTTTTCTTTTATCTGCCTCAATTTTCCACAAAGGCACATTTCCAATATCAGACTTTTCACTAAGAATATCAACAGATTTAGGCCTTGCTCTTTCCTTTTTTCTTTGTTCTAATGCCCTTTTCCACTCAGGTACATCATCTTCTTCTTTAGTAACAGTTGTCTTAGTTTCTTCACTTTTTGATTTATCGTCTTTATGGTAAGTCACCACTGTAGTCTTAGTTGTGGTTTTCTTGGTAATATCAACTTTAACATTGGATTCTTTTTTCCCATCTGAATCAAATAAATTTGAACTCTGAGAAACAAAAGAAGACTTTGGTCTAGGAGGTATCTTACTTTTACTGAAGTCCTTTTTCTCAGACTCTTTGACTTTATCTACCTTATGTCTTAAACCAACTTCCTCTTCATGTTTAGCACCATTTATTTTCACGTTACTTTTGTTTTCTTTATCAGAAATAGCACCATTTGGTTTACCTTTATTGTCCTCATCGTGATCATACTTGTGCCTTACACCTGCCAAACTTTTTAGTAGACCGCCAAACACTTCTCTGTTCTTTTCCTCATTTTGAGGCCTATTAGGAATAACAACAGCAGCTGTAAACTCAGTCTTGGGGCCTTTAATATGAGCTTTTGGAGCTTCATGCATTTCACTTGTATCCATTGAACTTACACTTCTTTCATTATCAGTCAATTTTGAAGATTTATCTTTACGGGCAGGACTGGGACTTCTGGTAGTTTCTTCAACCATAATCCTAGGTGGTTTAGAAGGAGGTATATTTGACCTTAACACTGGTTTCTTGTCAATGTCTTTATCTGTAGTCATTTTGTTGTGTTTATTGACTAATCTTGGCGATGTAACAGGAGAATCCGAAGATTTGTTTGAAGATGGCAGTTTAGGTGGTTGAGAAGTTGGCATTCTTGGTGGAGAAGACCCAGGCAAAGGTGGAGGTGAAGCTGGGGAATTATCTTTATGAGTACTACTTAAGTTACCTTTAACTTTAGTAAGATTTAAACTAAATTCAGACTTATGTACATTTGGAGGAGTTTTAGGTCTTGTTAATTCATTCTTTCTAGGTGTTGTTGGAGATTTGATCTTATGTTCAATTTTTCTTGGCGCTGCCTTGGGAGAAACAGTTTCATCTTTTTTCTGAAATCTGGGAACTGGCTTAGGTACTTGAGATTCATTTGTATCTGTTTCCATTTGCTCATATCTACTTAACACATTTTGTCTTGGCTTAGCAACTGGAGTAACTACTTTGTTTTCTGTATTTTTGTTGTCTACAGTTTTCTCAAATTTTTTCTTAGTATCACCAATGTCCTTTTTATCTCTTTCTTTAACTATTTCAACATTTTTTTTAGTTTCTGTACTATTTAAACCTTTTAAATTTCTTTGATCTAATTCTTTAAACCTATCTGCTAAACCTGTTTTAATCTTTGGCTCATCTTTTGATTTTTCATCACCACTAGCAAACATTTGATCTTTCTTCTCCAAGCCCCGTTTCCATATAGGATCATCATTGTTTACTGTTTGTGTATTTACTTTAGCTTCTGATTTAGATTCTAATTTGACTACAGGAGTATCAGCACCTTTCTTCCTTTCATTCTCTTTAGCTTTTTGCTGAGCTCGTCTTTGCCAAAAATCTAAACCGTCATCCTTACACTCTTTTTTTACAGTATCTGAATCAATTTTTCTATGCTTTGTACTTATCAAGTCATTTTTATCTTCACCAAACAGAGTGTTTGGCTGTCTTTTGAACACTTTGCTGGTGGGCGAAAGTTCGCTCTTTCTAAAACAAGATCTATGGTACAGTTTTGAGTTTTCTATATGTCGTTCTAGAAGATAAACTCTTTCATGACAAATTGTACACTTGTCTCCAATAGACTCCTGTTTCTCAATCTTTTGCTGTAAACAAATAAATAACAAATGTTAAGAAATTAAAGAAAAATAGAATTATCTTTATTTGCCAAAAAACTTACTTACATATTAAAAACATAATTATTCATTAAGCTTTTAAATTTAATAAGAAGGTATAATCTCCCATAAACAGATTAACAGACTCAATTGAACTGCAGTTTGTTGTTATCACATATCTACTTGTGTTTTAATTGATCATAAGGGATCTTTTCTCTTCAGAATTTCGTATACTTCATATACTAGTCTCTTAAGTACAAATGAAATGGCAAGGGGACATAATGGAGACAGACACTGTCGGACATTTCAATATACTACATGTAAACAAATTATCCCAGATCTCACATTTACTTTCAATAACCCATAAAATGTTATCACACAATCATGAAAATTCACTTCTCATTACATACAATTATGCTCTTTAACATTTAGTTCACCATAAATCATTTTAGTATTTCAACCAATCCTGAAAATTCTTTCTGACAGAACACAGAATTTTTTCTGACAGAATATAGAAATCTTTTTTAAATTTTACCTGTATCATTGAACATATATAAAGTTAGAAATTTTGCATATGGTAAAAGGGAAAAACTTTTAAAAAATATACAAGTTTTACAACAAAAAACACTTGTATTTACCTGGTTAGTTTTTGCAGGAGTAAGAGATTTGTTCACTGGTTGAGTTACATTGTCTTTTGTCTTGGCAGATTTGTTGAATTTATTCACTCCAGGTCCACCCACTATAATGTTCATGGTGAAAAAAATAAGAATTATACAAACAGGACAAAAATCACACTAATGCTATAAAGGTCAATACAAAGACTTTCCAACCTTACTTATGGAAGTCAGAAATCAACAGTGTTATTGTGTCAACAGAATTTCACTAATATAAACTTGTAAGATGAGCAGGCAACAATCGTATAGGATTGTCTCCCTTATCCATACTTTTTGCAGAGAACTCACTTATCCCTAAAATTTCCCGCTTGGATGAGACCTGTTAAAGTCTTGCCAAAATTTTCATAACAGAAATCCACTACCGTAAGTAGGCTTAAATTCTACACAAGCTAATGCTGTATAAAACACATTGACAAACAATTAAAGAAGCAAATTCAAAATGTAAAAGTTGGGAAGTTATACATACACTGTGGTTTGTCATGGAAGTAGTTATAGTACTGGGACACATATGTAACAACACTCAGTCTGTCTGGAACTCTTATAGCTACCATATCTGCTGCCTCCAGGAATGCTGGGATACTCAGTTGCTTTTCTGCTACTTCAAAAGCCTTAAATGATAAGAAAAAATTAAATGTTCTTACAATTAAAACTCTGAAGATTATTCAAGTGACTATAATCTATATAAAATATAATATTCAAAACTTGAAGTTGTAAGTAATTAGTGAAGTCATGACTGTAATTAAAAAGCCACTTGAAATTTATCATGTGTCTAATAATGGAGTGAAAACATGTGGTTCATTGTTGCAGCGTTGTAATTTTCCTTTTTGAGCCGCGTCATGACAAAACCAACATAGTGTGCTTGCTACCAGCATGGATCCAGACCTGAGCCTGCACATCCCCGCAGTCTGATCAGGATCCATGCTGTTCGCTATTATTTTCTCTACTTGTAAAAGGGTCACAAACGCACTATGTTGGTTTTGTCGTGACGCGGCTCATTTATATTTTTTGGTATGTAAGGGATATCTGATCACACAGACTTTGTTCAAGGTCAAATATAGGAACTTGCAAGCTATATCTGCTGAGGCAACATGGCAAATTGGTAAACAAGTTGGACCAGTAATCTAAGGATTGCCCTGTCTTGTGCAAGCTGTTGTTTCACTGAGCAAGAGACTGTACACTCATTGCTTAGTACTGGTTGGTTCCAGGAATGGATTTTGAGTTTGAAACAAGATGCATTAAACCCCTTCATTTTACTAGAACAAATATATAAGTAATTTTCATACTTACAAGATCATTATTTTCAAACACATTCTCTTTAGACAGCGAGTCGTAGTCACTGAAAAGGTAAAATGAGAAAAATTAATACTAGAATGTTTAGTTACTCAGATGTTCATTTGACTTTAAGCCCATGTTTGTGACATAAATTCTCTGCCATTTATCAGCCAGCATATTCCTAACATTATTATTAATGTATTACAAGAGTACTGTGTTAAAGCACAAGTATAGATTTCTGCAAATTTTCATCCTACTTTTCCATACAATGACTATCAAGAAGAATGACAGATTGAAACAATGTATTAAGACAATGTATTTGACTCATGACAGATTTAAGGAAACAAACTTGAAAACCTGACATAATTTTTAATATGTTGCTTTAATAATTTCTTAAGTATTATTGAATTTTAATCAGAAAACTGCAAACACAGCCATTAACATTTTCAAATCTCATCAGCCTGTTACAGTCATGTAACATGATCAAGATGCTAGAAAGGCTCAAGCCCACCTGGAACCCTTGATTAAGAGAGGCAGACACTTTTTTACAAAGCCGATTTCATATCAGCCTCACAGTCTCCCTCACAAGATAAATTTTGTAAAATTTACATATGTATTTTCAAAATCTAGAAATTCTAGCTCTGACAGGAAATCTAATATTTTTTATGTTTCAATTGACTTATGAAACAGGATGCCTTTAGGAAGCTACATATTTATACACTATGTATGTAAATGGAAATAATTAAACAGGATACAGGTAATGATATTAGAGGAATTGATTTTATACATTTAGTTTGAACAGCTGTTATTGTAAAACATGTAAATGAAACTATATTACTAACATTGTACAACCACACTACTAGAATTTAATACATGTATATATTACTATCATTCAGTGCTGAATTTCATATAAATTATATATGTATCATGAATAAATAAACTTAATTATTTTTTAGACTTAATTTGAAATGCTCTGATAGATATATCTGTTTGACAACCACTTCTTTTCTTATTTCCTTTTCAACAAATTATATAGGGCTCTTTTCTTTGCAACTTCATGTCCCTTTCCATGCAATACATCAAGGACAATGATAAGCAGAACAAACTGGCATGTCAGTGCCATCTGATCATGGTGTCTTTACTTTTAACTATGTAGTCAGTACATATTCTAAAATTTTCCTTAAAATGATAAATGGTTTTGTTCAGATTCAAATATGGACAAGTCCATTTTAGATATTGACTATTGAGCATGGCAGGGTTTAAAACCCAAACCAGTGAAAGCAAGAAATCAACCTTTATGCAAGTCAAAGGACAGTTCAAATTAAAAGGAAACTAAAGTCTACTAGACTTACATGTGCTTTAGTCCACCTCTAAAAGTATTACCCTGTATATAATGACTACTCTTCAACAACCCTTCCTTGATTAAATAAAACATTGTAACCTCCAAATAAAGACCACTTGTCTGTAAAGGCCATGCTCAGTCCCTCCATCAGATGGAATTTATTTACAGGTTTAACTGTATATGTGTTACAAGTCAGAAAACTAAAATACCCAATCAATATAACCAAAGAGTTGGTTAAAAACTAGGTTAAACTTAATTAAATATTTTAATTGTTTTCATTAGATAAGGCTATCTAAACTTTTAAAAGTGTATTACATCTGATACGAAATGAAACAAACAGGAAATAAACATCTTGTATCCTTTAAGTTCATCAATTTTATCATGTTTTTGCTAGCGGATAAGAAACTATGCCAAATATTTCTTACAAGTAACAAAATGCAAACATTTTTCCTTTTTATTTGAGATTTAACAAAAGTCATGTCACCACTCTGTTTGAACAAACTTGAAAATTTTTTAACTCTCAGCATATTGCAAAATTTATCTGATTATTCTAACATGGGGTTTTCCCCTAGAAATTTTTTAGATACTTCAAGCATCATTTTTCAACATAACTTTTTTTGCTACATGTGATGAATTTCTTCACTTGTCGGGTTTGAAGTCATGTGCCAAGGAGCTAGCAAACAGGATGTTTGGTGGTTAAACTCTGCTGTCCCCTTTTGTCTTAAATAATGCAAAGAGGGGCACCTGAGGTCTTTATTCACCAGTAAAACTGGAATGCTGCCGTTATAACCTTTATAGTCTCTGTGTGATTAAAACTCCCTATCCCTAACATGCAAAATTTTGTAACTGCACTATGCGAAGGGGGAGAGTTTGGGGTTGGTGGGTTGTTTAAGGGAAAGGAATAATTGGATTCTAAAGTACCATGGCTACCTGATCACTAGGCCAGAGACCCCAAGTAAAAAATATTGTTTTATTACACTAAAAACGTACTAGGTATAACATAATATATTTTAAACATATCTGACAATCTTATCAAATTAAATCAAGCCTTAAAAACTTAAAAAGTTGTTCTGATATGAACAATAAGATAGAAAGATTTAAATAAGGAAAGACTAGGTTTCCATATGTGAAACATAAGTTATTTATGTACCAATATAGACCAATTACAAACTCGACAGTTTTCTATATTTATAGTAAATACATTTTAGCAATGTTTTGTTAAATTTCACATCCTAGACTACACACAAATGTTTCAAAACCACAACAAAAATCAGTAACTTTATCTTGTGTCGAAATATTTCTAAATCATTCATGACCGTCAATAAATTGACAAAGACCTAAAAACATGATGAGTAATTCTTTAATTGTTTATTCATCCACCATTCTTTGTAGTTCAATGGAATGATAAGTGGGTATCCCGTAAACAAAGGTCAAAACAATGTGCAAATTGAGCGTAGATAATCTTACGAGGGTCACTGTTGACAAACAATTGTCTTGCTAAAGATGTTTGTCTATATGTGCATCGAAACAGAGATAAAATTAGATTATAGCCATTGTTCATATTGACAATTTTGTTAAAATTTCAGCTTATTTAGGTACCCCTTTGTCCACTTGAACAATTTAATGATTTTACGAGCATTGAATTTAGGGGTACTTGAGTAACACAACACCTTAATAAACCTATATTGGTGCTATAAATCCTTTAAATTACATGAATTCATGCATTTCTTCCTGCATGAAAGCTTTTCTCAATGTCAAATCTATGAATGAAAACTAACTCTTTGAGAACATGATTGTATATTATCATATTAATTTTTCAACCATTCATTCACATAATAATAACATTGAAAGCTAAAAGTTTAATAGAAAAATGACACCTACTGAAATTCTTTAAATATTTCATACGATCTTCTTTAAAGTGAATTTAAATTTAAATGACATAATTATTTTCCAACCTTATTATATTAATAGTAATTGCAATATCAAATAAGGTTGATAATAAACCTACTGAGCTGTACAGGTTTTTTTTATATTTTGAATTTAAATAAGGTCAATATCATTTTAAATTGAAATTTTACATAAAGGAATAACTTTAATGGCACTGCAACTTTTTATATAATAATACCAGTGAAATAAGACCTTGAAATACGTCTTGATATAAAATTCCCATGAAAAACTCAGCCTTCACATGACTTTACAGTTCATACTCATCTTTTTTATTCTCACTTTTCATTCCTAACTCAATAATCTATCATGGCCATGTACATGTTTATCTAACTTCCATGTCAAAGCCAACATAATGTTATTAATGACATGCGTTACTAACTTACTCTTAAGTTTCCATGATATCAATAATAATAAATCCCCAATCCAACTAAAGCCCTGATCCATCCAAATTATGTGATCTGCTAAAAATCCTGATGCATTCCAGTTTCCTGCTTAATACAAAACTGTGATCATCTTAAAACTGGAGACTGATTAAACCAACAACCATGATACATTAACAAACCATAATCCACAAAAAATATAATACAATAGACAATTCATGGCTATTTCCCCTCCCCTGATTCCCATCCCATCCCAACCCCCCCCCCCCCCCCCACAACCTGAGTATACCCACCAAAAAAATGCTAAACCCCTATAGATGTGGGATGGGTGAACAATTACCAAGTTAAAATTGTGCCAGTCTTACTTACAAAATAAATGAAGAATTTTATCTTTTTATCTTTATTTTTGTTTCCTTGTAACTTTGTAAACAGATAGTCGCACCTACATAGCCCCATAACTGCCATACATGTTCTTCAACATTCCCTTGGACATGAGTGGACTCCTTTTGTAGAACCATGGTTCTGACTTCCATGAAGTTAAGAAAAAAATTAATGATAAAACCAACAATATGTATGTGTATATGATAACAATGGATGGTGACTTAGCAAAACCACACCTAAATTTTTTCCTAAAATTAATGAAAACTAAACTTTGCAAACCACCTACATTGTACATGGAAACTGGGGTAGGCCTTAAAAATAAAATAATAAAACAAAGAAACAAGTAACAAAACATAGAACATGACATACATTAAGTTCATATAGACAATGAATTAAGTAAGCAGTCCTGCCTCTGTTACAAACAATAAGGTTTTTATTCATGATCAGTCACTGTTACAACATCCTTCCTATGGTAAATATATCATAATATATGATCTCACAGTAACATATTTACATCAAAATATACAAGCATTTCATTATTGTTTTTAAACTTTCAGTACAATATGGTTTTTTTCACACCTTTGTAAAAATATGTAACTTGTAGATAATAGTTGTATTTGAGTAAAGTACATTGTAACAAGTTGATATGCCCAGCTAAAACCAATCAAAACAAACTGAAAATATGAGACAATCAATAAAGACGGGAAAATTGGAAAGATGGTGGTGACAGTGTTTTGATGACAGGTTCGGTACTTTATTGTACTCATCATACCAATGACCTGCATTTCTGCAGCTTTTGTTTACATCTTAGGTTTAACCGCACCAGTTGCTACCATTATTTTGCTGCCATTTGTTGTATTATAATGTACACTAAAATATGCTTTACATTGGAGGGTAATTCACTACACAAATATCATTTCCAGTACCACTTCCTAAATAAATCAATTTTATCTTTGAAATTAAGCAAATAAAATAAACTTTGAATCATAAATCATTTCACTAATTTCCTTATGACAATAAAACTAAACAATAGCATTCATGAACTTTGCAAGGCAAATATCTTCCCTTTCCAACAAGTACTTCACAAAATAAAAGGGGCATGTGACTTTTCTGGTTATAGTTTCAGAACAATATACCCCCATTCAAAAGTCCAAGGTAGGGGCAAATGAGCTTTGTTGGAAGTTATGTCCAAACAATCTCCAGCACATACAGTTATCTTAAGCAGTCTGTTTCAAGGTCAAATTTTAATTACATATCAGAGTGACATTACAATGTACCATGTAGCATAAACTGCCAACTGATGTTGGCAAACCTGATAAGACTAAATTAAAGTGTGTTAACCAATCAAACTCCTTGATTAAAAGTGGCATGTGCTATGGATTTAATTTAATTAAACTGTCTATCAAATAATCTAAAAGGTAAGATTTCCTTGTAAAGCGGAAAAAGTTGAGGGTGTGTGTATTTTGGGGAGGAGCATTTAAATGGGTGTATACAGTACAAGTAAATAAGGAAAGCCCCCTGTTATATAACTAGCAACAAACATTGCTTAAAACAAAATGTCAATACAATCTTCAACTGAGCTAACACAAATTTTGAACTGATACCAAAGTAAATATTGTGATAATACAGGTATATTTATTGTAAACAAAATTACCATGTTGAGTAGTTTAGCCTGTATACCTTAACAGACTGTTGCACCTAAGTCTGTAATAAAAGTCCTAATCAATGCATCATATATGTGTCTTCATAATTAATGACATAAGGCCATGAAAAATAAATCAATTTGCTTGTACAACAAGCTTTTCATTAACCTAGATTTTCTTGATGACATTTGCTGGGGTTTTCAACTAGGCATAATAGGCAGAATGCAACCAAGATAGATGTCACTGCTAATTTTTTATCACTTAAATGTTTCTTTTATCATATTATAGAAACATTTATCATATTCTAAGGTTATTCAAAGTATAAATTGAGCCGTGTCATGACAAAACCAACATAGTGTTTGCGACCAGCATGGATCCAGACCAGCCTGCGCATCCGTGCAGTCTGATCAGGATCCATGCTCTTCGCTATCAGTTTCCCTACTTGTAATAGAGTTGGTAAGCGAACACAAGTTGGTAAGTGAACACTACAGCATGGATCCTGATCAGACTGCGCGGATGCGCAGGCTGGTCTGGATCCATACTGGTCGCAAACGCACTATGTTGGTTTTGTCCTGACGCGACTCAATTAATTCGATATTTATATGAATAGTTTTCCTTTTGTCTTTATGAAAACAATAGCAAACTTCCTAATCAAATTTGTAAAACTTGCTTTGAATTTTGAAAGTGTCCATTATCACTGACATATTCTAATTACCGTATTCAAAGTTTATATAAGTTCTATTGAGTTTTCTTTCTGTCTATATGAAAACTATAACAATTGTAAAACTTGCTTCAAATTTCATACTTGTCCATTATAAAGGGATTTTTCATATCATAATGATAGCCAGCAGTATAGGGCTTGGTCGGAACTGGTGGCAAGGACGGAAGTTATTGCTGACTAAGCACTTTTACTTTTAACATAATAAATGTCTTATAAATCTTTCAACAGGAACAAAACAATTCATTATTTTTGGGGAAAATTCTTAAATATGTACTGACTCAATAGTACAGACCATGATTTGATGGCATGGGTTACTTAAATATTCAGTTTTTGCCGGTAGGCTAAAGGTTAAAGCTATGGAATATATTGTGGTATCCATTAAAATGTGTTATAACTGTTTCTCTGTAGTAATTAAGTTATGAATGTGTTGTGTGTTAAAGACATAATTTTAAGTAGAGTTCCATAATGCCCTAATTGGTTGTCTTCAATAGTCATTCTCTTTGTAGACTGAATTACTGATTAATTCATCAGAGGAATAATTATTACCTGCTATTACATTGCAGACAGCTATTAAATGTACAAGAAAAACAATAAATCCCAAGAATTAAGAGCTATTGTTTTCACTCATTTTTTTTCTTGTTTTTGTTATAATGTTCCTTAAATTTTACATAGACTGAGTCTGTATTTTAAATGACATATTATTCTTTTAATCTGTTACTGTTGATAAAATATTGATACAAATGCTAAGGTTTAAAACTGGACAGCAGGCACAGTCAGGTTCAGTGGCACTACTGTCAGTCTACAAAACCAGGGCCATCCTTAAAAAAATGTTTGTTTGCAGTAATGCGACCGACTCACAAAATTTGCCCCTACTCAAAATTTTTTTTCATGGTCTGGATAAAGAAAAAAAAATTTTGAATCAGAAAATTATGCCTTGTGCTTTGTTTTCTTTCTTTTAAAGGTTAATGTAAGAAATAAAATGTAGGTCTTATTAAATTAGAATTCAGTTATCAATTTATTAATTGTTACCAGATTAACAAAGCATATATTGTCCAGCATTTTGAAATTCCATGTTTATTTGGGAGTACAGTTCAATAAAAAAAAAAAAAAATCGACCTACCTACCCACCTTGAAAATTCTGGGTCGGGTTACTGCAAACAAACATTTTCTTAAGGATGGCCCAGGGATCAAGATTTTGATCCCTCTAAAATTATCCCAACTAAAATTAGGTTTAAATTACTAACAGTTTTTCAGACAGCACTGGTCATGTGTGATGGTGCTAAATTACACTTTACACATTAAAGAACCAGTTTTCCTTCTGAAATAGGGTATTTTCTTTATCAGTTGTAACTACCCTCTAAACAAAATAAATTACTAGCCATCTTACACAGTGGGTCACCTATAAAAGTTTCTGGTTGTGACTATAAATAAATGTATATCAATTAATTTTGCTGAGATTGCATAAATGAATACAATTACATTCCTCGAGTGTTTCTCACTGTTGAAGTCATAAAATTAAAAAAACCAAAAAACACTTGTTTTGAATCCCCCATACCCACGTTCATTTCATAAATAATGAGACTAATATAGCACAAAATAAGCTATGACAATTTTTGCTTTACATGTAGATTACAACAAAATAAATCCTACTGCAGCCACAGCTGTCAGCCTAAATATACACTGTCACAGGTTATAAACCCTGTTGTACTTACATCAGATCTGGTCGAAACCGATGAATGATAGCGCAAAACGCCAGTCCACTCTTCCACGATGCTGCCATGTCTCGAACCTCCACATCCCTGTACCCATCAGCCATCTTCTTACACCATAACTGCAGGTTTTTCACTTTCGTCATCGCCATTGTTAATTATTATTTCAATAATCCCAAAGTCCTGTGCTTTATTATAAATGTTAATTCCAGTTTATTTACATCAATGCATATTTGGTGATAATCCTCTATACACTATTTTCCCCATCATTGATCACAAATGTTTCAGCCAGCTTTACAGATCTGTAATGTAAATAATAGAACAATTGTTGTAAATCAATATATATATAAAACAGACTATGACATATTATATACATGTGTACGGTAAGTGTTTCTTCATGTCTCACATTTTTAAAGATGATTAACGCTAATTTCTCCAATAATTGCATAAATAACACTTATAAATAAACATAGAGAGACTTTTTTGTGCAAAAAACATGGTCGTCAGTCACTTAAATCCCTATCGCTGGACACAAGCTGACGGTCAAGACGAGATATTTAAAATTATCCTATTGAGATAAAATGCCATTATTAAAAGAAAGGGGTGTATGATGGATGCATGTAATTACTAAGAAGAATCAAATAAAAATATTTGATAAAAGAAACAAAAGTAAACTAGAAAACTCAAATAAAAAATATAACAACATTAAAATACAAAACAACAAAATGATAATCAATGTTCTCATTTAACAGCTAGTATAATCTTTACTACATTAATATTAATAGACACAATTTTTTTACTCCTGGCAAACAAGTTTCAATATCCTGACCTTGACCATAAATATAATTATGACAGTGAAAAAAAATCAGTATATTCAATTTGCTCAATATCCGTGAAACTTTATTTGTTTACAAGTTGAATTACTGGTACAACAATTCTCATGTGTCATTAAAACATCATGTGACACAATTCAATAAATCGTGCTGAAATCTTGACCCTACGTGACCGAACATACCAATGTTTATCTCCGTATCTATATCATATTTTATCTTTATAACAAAGGCGATCTTCACAAGTCAGATATATCTTAAAACAAATATCAACAATATGTGAAACTTGTGTCAAAGGCCACCTCTAGATTAAGACCACAAACAGACAATCTTTCACCAAATGTTGTTAATTAATCTCGACCTTTTGATCTTTTTGTTAAATATTTGATAATTGGTCAAACAAGTAACTTGTCTTAAGAGATAACATGTCTACAAAGGCCTTTCTACAGCATCCCAAGACTGCCCCTTATTGACAGGTTTCTGTGTTTATCAAAATTATACTATTGACAGGTTTCTGTGTTTATCAAAATTATACTTCAATGTAAAATAAATAAAGTAATCATGATATTATGGACACTAGTATTCAGTAAGTAAAAAATTTGTGTAAACTGTAATTTGAAATTTTAGTGAACTTCGTACTTTTTCAAAAATGTCTAACATCTTTAATATATATTTACTTTAAAATTTAATTACTAAACAACTGTATAATTTCTTGAGTGAGAAAACCTTCTAAAATAATTTTGTAAAAATATTCACTTTTCACCACATATAGGAAACCACAAATATGTACAGTATGTATTATAGATAATTTATCAACTGTGTGTTTCTACAAGATTTCAGATGTTAAATAAAAACATGTTTTAGATAAATTTCAAATATTTTCCCATCAGAAATTTAAATATCATATTTCAATTATAAAAATATCTTATCAAGAACTTTTTATAGAGAAATTTCCTAATTATCTACTTTTTCAACTAGACCAAAAGTACTTGTAGATTTATACATCAATTCAAAATAATAAAACAAAATAATTAATTTCTCAACCTACCACATTTAACTTTCCAAATTAATAAATCTTTAATGTTCAAGTTTAAACTTACTAGTATTAATCCTAAAGGTTCCTAGGCATATGATAGTGATTCACTTATATTCCACTTACTACAGGTATACTACAGGTATTACCTTTTCTTTCTAAAATTTCTATATTTAACCACAAAACCTCTTCCTGGTTTTTCACACTGTGTTTATAAACAGCGTGGTGTTCATAATCCACAACCGGTAAACCAACATTGCCAAATACTATACTTAGTCTGTATTGAGCTAACGCATGACTAAGTAAGATGTGACAATATGTATTTCGCGCCAAGTTTTATCCTATCGTGACGTGACAAAGTTATTATACAGTATCAGTCTATTTAAAGTTTATTCTATTTATGCCAGGTATTGACGCAATGCATTACGGCCAAATACAGGATAACCACGATCTATGTTATCACTTAAGTCAATATATAAACAAATTTAAACATTTTCATTACTGGACCATGTTTTTAAACAGTTATTCTAACATCAGTCATTTCAATTTATCAATGGGTATTTACAATGAAGTTTATAAATTCAAGAAAAATTAATTGAATTTCTGCAAGGTTTTCCTTCATACCTTCTTTTGCTTTTTTTAATTTAATACTTTTCTAACTTTTTCATATAACAGCATACAGATTAATGAAATGAAAACAATAATGCATAAACTTTTGTTCAAAGAACCTTGTTTAAACTTTTAACCCTTAAAACATGCTCTTTCTCTACTTGTTATGGAGTTTGTAAGCGAACAGCATGGATCCTGATCAGACTGCGCGGATGCGCAGGCTGGTCTGGATCCATGCTGGTCACAAACCCATTATGTTGGTTTTGTCATGGCACGGCTCATATCAGATTTAACTGAGCAGTCTATCCTGGTTCTTTTCTGTTATTCAATTTTTGTATTAACACATTATTATTGGAAACCCTTTAACTTTCAAACTCATGCAAATCCATTACAAAAAATCATCAGGTAAAAGGGTTAAAGAACTTGTCATGCTCACTGAACAAATAATACTCAATTTAATAATAGGTTCAGTATTTGTTCTAACACAATTCAGAATGTTTTTCAATTAGGCACCCTATATAATATCCTATCTTAACTTTACCACAAAACATATCTCCTATAATTTACTCAAAAGTACATTTACAATAGAAATTTCTATATGCCTGACTTAACTTAAAATTCATGATGTTAAATTGATAAACAGTGATACGTCAGTTTAGATGGCATAGTGATTATTAAAAGTAGAATTCTAACACTATCGAAAATTTTTCTATATAAACAAAGAAGGCCCGAAGCGTGCATTATTCTACAACAATGCACTCGCCGTTCTTATTATCTTCCTGTGTATTTTCACATTGAGGGCGCCATTTTGTTTGAAAATCTGATAAATAAAAAAAAAATTTTTGTCGAATTTTGTTGTGAAAACTATCTAGAATGAAAGAAAATGGTCTAACTAAGAAAATGAATCCGGACACCAATACCTTTAATTCAGTCGTTAACGCTGTACAGACGTTTAAAGTGTTGTTTACGTGACGTCACAATGTAGCGCCAAACAGCACATGCAAAAAAATCAAGTCAAGTATGCTATTTTAATGTCGCAAACGAGTTAAGTTTTACACTTATTTCACTTTTAATAATTTGTATTTCGTTTGAAAAATTATAAAGTGAAATAAAAGAAATAAACAAAGTTTTAACAACGTTTTCAAAATTCGTTTTCCTCAAAATGTTTCTACACAAGGTAGATTTAACGACAGTTTTTTTCCAACCCACGGGAACAGCCTTTAAAATACATGTACATATAATTTTTAAGAAAAAAAGGTTCAAATCTACTATTTATTGCCTGCAAAATAACATGGTCTCAAAAAATATATTTCCAAAAAATCAGTGAAATTCTAGAACAAAATGCTCAAATAATTACATAATATAAATTCAAAAACCCTTATAAAGTAGCTTCTGTCAAATTCAAAATCACTAAATCTGAGGTCTAGAGATGCTTTGATTTGATCCCGATAGTTTTACAATAAATTTCATGCCTCTGACGTGTTCTATGTAACACTATACAACGTATAATGACTTTACACTTGTAGGTATGATGTGGAACATGATGCGACAACAATAACTCCCTTTCAGTCTTTACTAAATTTAAGAACATGTCATTTTGTTACTTAAGTTTCTTATAATTTTTGTTGTACGTAAATTATACAAAAAAGTATATTCAACAGCAAACTTTTTTTTAACAATTTAGTTCATCGTATTTCATGCTATATAATTATAACAAGGCAGAATCAAATACAGCTATATCCCCTGCTATTGCAGATATAAATGTGGATTTATTAATATTTTGGCATACATTGACCTTGGGATTAAGACCTGGCAGTTGTGCTGTGCTCAATCTAAATATATCATGTCATGGTAGTTATTATTTTGTAGGGCTCTATGTGTGACCTTGACCTTTTGGGGGTATGCACTGTGCATATTTTGTCATGATGGCAATAAAAAAGGTACTTTGAAATTTTAAAATAGTCAGCCACTTTTACAGAACATGAAATGTGGACATTTTGCATTTGACCTGTATGTGTGACCTTGGCCTTGGGTGTAGCAATCCAGTTGATGCACAATACACATCTTGTCAAAATGCAGGTTTTTTTTCCAGGAATATGACCCATACCCATGGAATTGGGAATTTCAGTGCTGTTTTGTTAAAAATTGGGAAAAAAACGCATGACTTAATTGGAGTGATTAAAGAATCAATGTCTAGGATGGCATCTTCAAACATTTAAGCACCATAACAGTGAAGTTTAGCCCTTATTTTCAAAGATTTTAGAATTTGTAATTCAATATTTTTATTTTGTAACTTTAAATTTGGAAATTTTCCCTGTGGATTGGGAAAATAATATACTATTTTCAATTGGGTTCTCTGTCTAAAACATCGTCATCCTCATTGTGTGACCTTGACCTTGTGGGTAGCAACATGTTGCACACTGCACATCTTGATAAGGTGGTTGTTAATTCTGCCAAGTAATTTTAAAACCTTCACAATAGTCAATTAGTTATGGAGCTGACATGATATGTGGACTTCCTAACATCTGACTTGTAAGTTGGACTTTGATTAAGCAACCTTGTTATATTCTGCACATCATGTCAAGGTGGTGATCATTTGCACTAAAACATTACAATACTGAATAATTGGTAAGTTATAAAGCAGACACTTAATGTTGACTTTTAAACATTTGACCTTTAAATTTGATCTAGAATTTGAGGGTAGTGGCCTGTTTGTTGCACCAGGGTCTTTCAATTTTCTATTTGAAAGACCCTGGTTGCACTCTCGGCCTCTGCACATAGTGTCATTATGGTCATCATTTATGATGTGTTATTTTAAAATCTTTTCAGCAGTTTAAACATCATGGAGCTGGCATAGAAAATGGACTGTTTTATATTTATACCTTTAAGTGCGACCTTGACCTTTGGATAACAACCTGCCTATTTATCTGATCTTGTTAAATCATATATAACAAGGAAAAAAAATTGATTATAACAGGAATACCTTTCTCTTAAAAAATCTTAACATATATCAGTATACCAAGTTCAAGTTCGAAAAATAACACTTAATAATAAAGTGGAAATAATATTTAATTGCAAAAGCAGAATTTCCTTTAAACTTCCTATAACAATTTTATAATAATTTACATCACTTTAACATTCAATTTATATTTTCCCTTCCCCTTAGCTTCTAAAATCACTTCTGTTATATTTAGTGTCTTCATTTGTATAAACAAGAGAGCTGTAAGGGCCCTAAGTCACTTACCTGGGAAACCAGGCAAGAATTTATTATGGTCAATAACATTATCTAAAAGATGAACTTCTTCAGTGTTGTTTTCCACCTCACTTTTCAGGGGAATAGTGGCAGGGCCCATGGACGAGAAAAATGCATCATGGTGGGAAAAAAAATAATTTAGAAACAGATTAAACGGTACATTTTATGTCAAAACAAACAATTCTGTTATCTTTTTAAAAAACGACCATGTGTCTCTCTGTCCCACTTCGTGATAAATGGATCTCAAAAAAAAGAGAGAGAAAAAAATAGAAAATTATAGGTCTTTTATATATAGAAAATAAAGCATTTTTTTTTAAATTTTTGTAAATATCAGCTTGAAAGTTAAGCTCCAGACAAAAATAGTTTGAAGACTATTATAAAGGGCAGTAACTTCAATCTCATGTAAAGGAGTTATGATACTTAGCCTCAACCAGATCTATCTAACAATGAAGTTTCAAGTTGGTACTTCCAATACCCCAAACAAGCAAAGCCTATCAACTGGATCAATGGACAAACTGTTTCCAGTAATATTATTATTCAAGGGAGGGATATAAAGAGAGTACATCATAACATGCAAGTAGAAAACTGGAAACTCCCAAGTTTCATCTAAAACTATAAAGGGGTAACTTAAAGCTTTCATTCTAATTTTAACTCAGCAATCTAATTTGTTTCGTGAACTAAAATGATTTAAGCAAATTTTATACAGTTTTACACTGAAGAAGTGTTAATCTCATTAAATTTTATTATATTCTAATGAGCACATGCAATCCTTGTTGTCCAATATCATAAGAATGCTTGTTTCAAACCAAGTTTGTTCAATCAAAGGGTAGTGTTGCAACAGTTAGGAAGGATATTATTTTAGTAAGAAGAAGCATGGGATGGGAGTAGAGTATCTAATTCAGATATCCTGGGATTTAATGCCAACACAGCTGAAATTCTCTTTTAACTTACAAAAACATAACCTAGTGTGATTACTCAGTTAAGGCACCAGTGTTTGGTATTTTGGTTGTGTTTTTTTTTCTTTTCCAAAACAACCTGTGGATTTTTGAAGGGTTTAAATATGGCATGATAAGTCAGAAAACGGTAAAAACTGAAAACAATTGAGACTGCAACAAAGCCCCATATTATATTTAACATTTAAAACACTCAAATATTTTGGGGAAAGAAAAATTCAACAAAGTAATACTCGTCTAATTTCATATGGTTAGAAGCTCTAGTCAATGAAGAAGAATTTACTGACATGCAAAATTTGTATTGTACATCAGCAAACAAAAACTTTAACTTTGACTAATGTGTGGGATTTCTATTTATTAGGAAGACTTGTACTAACAAATGAAATAAAAATAAAAAACTGTCTACGGACGAATATAAAACTTTGATAGAACAAAGTTAATAGGTACCTGTCCAGCATAACCAAGTTTTCAATGTTGCTCTTTTACTTTACTTTTTAATTGGAATATAGGCTTGAATATAATTATAACACCTTTTCTC